TATATATATATATATATATATATATATATATGTGTGTGTGTGTGTGTGTGTGTCGGCCAACATAGGCCTATAGTTTAAATATATGCCACGTACGGGTACACTTATAAACTTTAGTCATTGCAGATTAATAGTAACTATGTTTATCTATAATATGTAAATAGTACAGTTGGATGAAGCATTGTTTTCGTGTGTGTTTTCTTTATAGTTTAGTTAGCACGTTTACGTTATGGTGTCGCCCCATCCAGAGGCGTAGCAATGGGGGGGGGGCACAGGGTACATATGTCCCCGGGCGCCGACCTTAGGGGGCGCCAAAATGGGTTGTAAAAACAAATTACAATGTCATTTTAGCTGCATTTTTGCAGTTTGAGGGGGGGTGCAAATCAAAAGTTTGAGGGGGGGGGGGTGCAAATCGAAAGTTTGAGGGGGGGGGGGGGGGGTTGCAAATCGAAAGTTTGAGGGGGGAGGGGTGCAAATCGAAAATTTGCTCCCGAGGGGGCGCCAAATTGAAAGTTTGTCCCCGGGCGCCGGGAAGGGTCGCTACGACTCTGACCCCATCCTCTTGTAATAATTGTCGATTTGTACTTAAAAGTCTATTTAACTTTAATTTTAATTTTTTGCCTTGATGCCTTTATATGGTTTCACCCGGTGCGGCCCGCACCCCCCCCCCCCCACCCCCACCTCGCCTTTGCTACGCCTCTGGTTAGGCTTGAAAAGTTAACTAATAATTACTAATTAGTAGGTATAAATATTTAATGTAGAATCTCTAGGCCTAATGTGTTGAGAAAAATAGGATGTAGGCTATGTTTTAAACCTTAGAGTTTAAAAATAACACTGCCGTCAAGTAAGTACTTCGATTTTAAATACAAAATGTGGACGTCCACAAATCAACATTGAACCGACCCCAGTGGCGTGCAGACCTATGTAGATGCCCGGGGCAAACTCAACCGGAAGATGCCCCATAAATACTTATATATATATATATATATATATATATATATATATATATATATATATATATATATATATATATATATATATATATATATATATATATATATATATATATATATATATATATATATATATATATATATATATATATATATATATATATATATATATATATATATATATATATATATATATATATATATATATATATATATATATATATATATATATATATATATATATATATATATATATATATATATATATATATATATATATATAAAGCTTAGTTACAAAAAAAAACAAATAAGTTGTGTTGGACGTTAATATACACAGAAAAGCATGTATTTAAAATATTGTACTTATCTTAATTGAGATGAACACGTTGACTACAGCCAGTTAAATCCAAATGGAATGAATGGTTGGAACTTGGGGGGGGGGGGTTGGAAAGGGGGGAGACAATTGCGGGACGTGTCGTGGTGGGGGGGGGGCTGTGATGCACTACAAAAGAGTCTCATCCGGTTTTATATTACCACCTGGGACCGCAGGGACAAAAACGTAGTCCGTGTCTACAATTAGGGCGTCAGACACGCCTTTATTAATGGGATGTTTCTCTCTTGGTCTGTTTAGGAATTCCTATAGTGTAACTAATACAGGTGAGAGTGTGCATTGAACTAGAGATGTTTCAGATTTTTTTCTCTAAACCACTTGGTCAAAACGTCAACTCTTTGAAGAGATGGGTGATGCTAGATACTCTCAAACTATCTTAACCTTGAATACAACAGAAGTGTACCTTGGTTTGCTAAAGCTGCCAGCCCTAAAAAAAAACACTTCTACATAGGACAGTGTTTAAAAAATCCACTATGCTATGTCAGACCCTCCCTAGACTTGGACTCGTTTTCACAAATTTAACTCCCAAGTACGCCTGTCTAGTTCAGGTGGGGGGGGGGGGGGAGGGGGAATAATCCACTAGCGGCTTCCATAGCCTAAAAACCCACACCGCATCCCCACATTTCATTACATCAATATGGGCTCAATAACTCTATAGATAGCTCACTATTAACTGAAATAAAACTGGCTCTGTATGTGCCCCAAATTACTTTAAAGAAAGCTCTACTCAGAGTTAAACACTTTAACTTTAACACTACTTAAAGCATGCTCCTCCTATTTGAAAAATCAATATGGGCGCAATTATTCTGAATGATATCATTACAATGTATCGAAAACAAAATGTTGATTCGTATTCTTGAGATTGTCGCTACAGTGTATCAAAAACAATATGGACATTCTTATTCTTAAGTATGCTTATATAATGAATGAAAATAAATATATATTAATGGCTGCCAGTGGCGTAGCTACCGTAAATCTAAATGCTCATAAAATATATTATAATGAATATACGAATAATTACTTTAAAGATGCCCCTACAGTGTATAAAAATAAATATGATTTAATTACTCGACGGATGTCCTTGAAAATGAGTATAACGAATACGCGCATGTTACTTTAAAGATGCCCTATTACAGTGCTTGGGAATAATTTGGTCACAAGTACTCTAAACGATGCCCCTACACTATAGTAAATAAATATCACACGCATTTATTAAGGGAATATCATTGACTTCCATAGGACTACCCTTCACTGATGCCCGCTTTTTCTATATAAGTTTTGGTATACGGACAGTGTAATGTTAAAACGAGTGACAGACGATTGAGTGTTACAATTTTTTTGAGCGAGATCGCAAAACATATGGAAAGTTACGATGACACCATGACACGACATATCGCAACAATTTTTAAATTACTAAAAAAAAAAGAAAAAAAAAAAAAAGCTAAAAATTTTTTTTTCACCTCCGCTGGATGCCCCCCACTGGTGGATGCCCGGGGTCTGGGCCCCGTCCGCCCCCCCCCCCTCTGCACGCCACTGACCGACCCCCTACCATAGTCCACCCAAGTACTTTTCCTCCGCCCCCAGTGATCAGAAACTCTAGGAAAAAAATAGAGTCCTTTCATATGACGTCACGTCCGTTCGTGATACCTACGCCCGCCGCCACAGTGGTGTACACCAGACGTAAACACAATCAGCTGTTCGCCAGCGCTGGACGTGTTCACCAACGCTGGACGTGTTCACCGTATGTAAAGAATCGCGCCGCGGAAAAGGAAAAATACGTTAAAAAACTTGAACTCTTAGGAATTGAAGATCCTTATACTGTTATTGACAGTTTCGTAGATAATATAAATATGTGGACAAAATTTCTAAATAAAAATAAATAAAAATAGTGTTAGTAATACTGTTTGCGTTTAGAGTTAAAGTAGCCGAATCTGATCAAATGCAGTTCTCGATACTTTGTTTCAGGTAAAATAATAAACTTCATACATTTTAATTATAAAAGATAACTATTAATAAAACAAATATGCTCGACCTTCACAAATACTAATAGTAAAAGACAAAGTCAAAAGTAATAATAAGAATAATAAGATCTAATAGTAGGCCTAATACCTGGCTCCGCTGGGTAGATTCTAGAATCTACTTCTTTACTTAAATTTAATTACTTTAGATCTACATTCGATTCAAAATACACCCATAATAAATCAAAAGTAGTCATAATAGACCTAATAAAGCATTTAATTGTCTCTAAGATCTAAAATCTCGCTCTATAATCTAATCATTTTTTTAGCAAACGAAATTTTCTGAAATTGAAATAGATTGTATGACTAGACTTAGATCTAGAATCTGCTACTTAAATTAAATTGTAAAAACTTTATACAAGCATGTAGTTGATATTATTGTAGTAGAAGGCTTTAATAAATTACTAAGGCCTACCTACTTTGTTGTCTTTTTACAGCAATATGTATCTGATATTGGACTGAGTTTAATTAAATTCAAATTCATATCTAGTAATTGGTCTACTAAGTTTTTGTAGCCTAGTAGTACAATCTAGATCATACCAGCCAACAACAAATAACCACATTATTATTATTTGGTTAATGATTAGGCTAATTTTTTTTTTTTAAATCCACTGTTTATAAAAGAAACAAATCAAGCTAGAAACATTTTAAGTGAGATGGTTTAGAATAATAACAATGGACCCAGTCTACAATTGATACAATTGCAGGTCTACATAGGGCCTACAGTCTAGTAGTTTACAGTAGGCACCTAGTGTGTAGCTAGTATACTAGTGTGTAGCTGTCCAGAGTTAAGATTCTTAATGCCTTAATGCTTTCCCCTGATAAGCCATGTGTGCTATAAATGACATAACATGACATCGAGGTGAGAAATGTTGATGGGAGAGCAGTGGGACTTTCCCCTTTGTTCTCCCTGCTGGGCCCTGAGGGTCAAATTATATAAGAAATACTATCTCTGTGGGGCTGGGTATCGATGGTATCACGGAGGTGAGACATTTTCAGGGGAGGGCAGGGCAGACTCCTCTTTGGTTTTATTGTGGGCTAGATACAGGTGGCGGCTGGCCATAATGAGGGTTGAACGTCAGTATTAATGTGTCTGATTACTTCCCTGCTGGATTATAAGGGTCTTAAATTGTATAACATGCTACCCAGATTGGTTATTACCCATGGATTATATTAGCCGTTGTAGTGTGGGTTTTGTAGGAGTTAAGTGGTCTCACGTTTGCTACAGTAGATAACCTATAATATATTACTGCATTTAATCAGCTTCGTCTACTTAAACTCTAAACGCAAACGGTATTACTAACAGTATTTTTATTTAGAAATTTCGGCCACATATTTATATTATCCACGAAACTGTCAATAACTGTATAAGGATCTTCAATTCCTAAGAGTTCAAGTTTTTTAACATATTTTTCCTTTTCCGCGGGCGCGATTCTTTACATACGGTGAACACGTCCAGTGCCCAGCACTGGTGAACACGTCCAGCGCTGGCGAACAGCTGATTGTGTTTACGTCTGATGTACACCACTGTGGCGGCGGGCGTAGGTATCACGTGATTTAGGTCACGTGTTTGCAAGGACTCTATTGCCGAATGAATGGGTGGAAACTATATTTTCCACTGCGCATGCGTATGTTTACAAAACAGCGCAACCGCTTGGCCTAATCTGCTAGACCTAGAATTTGATCTAGAATCTAGATCTAGATCTATGAGATCTAGATTCTTTTACAGCAAGTGTCTGATACTTTACTAATAGGCCTTAAAAAGCCAGTAATTAATTAATAATTATTCTAGCTCAAGTTTCTAACATTTCATTAGTTTAGTTTAAGTTTAAGTAATCATTAGGCCTACACATCTAGATTTCTAGATCTACTTTCAACTTTTTACTTACTTTAAGAATTTTAATAATTAATAATTATTATTTATAGCCTAATATTATTACTTAAGTTTTATTTTAATTCTACCCTACTTTCATTCTTTTATATAACATGAGATGATATTACAGAGAGAGAGAGAGGGATAAACTTTTAATTTATATTTAAATAGGCTAATTATTATAGTTGGGCTAAATTAAAACTTAATAAATAATAATATTACTTAATTTAAATAATATTAGCCATTAGTCCATTAGGCCTAATATTTCAAAGGAAGTGGCTACTCAGATTTTTTTAGGTGCATAAAATCGGCCGAGGCTAGTAATGTGTGAACAAGTTGCCTCATTTTTAAGGCTTTAATATAAGCATATTGGGATATAGATCTATTTGTGTCAAATATTAATAGATAACTGAATAATAAACCAAAATCGATGGCTAAATATATCAATATAGGCCAGAAATTAACTTCACACAGCAGATTTACAATATATTACTATATAACTATATAAAAAGCGGCCATTGTAAGTTAAGAGTGTCAAAGTGATCTCCCCTGGAATGTCTAACTATAATTTTACACAAAAAAAAAACTTAAACAAGATGACTGCACGCAGGAGGCAGTAGCACTTTGGTATGGATATTCACAAAAATCAAGCTGCTGTAAAAATAAAATAGGCCAATGCACTCATGGATGTCCGCCCCAGATTTCCTTCCTCTCCAACCTTTGGCGTAATGTGAACCGCTATAGTACATGTTTTCCAGACCGTCCGCGTCCAGGCAGAGTCCCTTTCCAAGGCGTGACTGCACTCCCCCAGCTCTATTAGCAAATACAAAGTGTCCATACTGGAATATGTGGATATGGATATTCATGAAAATTAAGCTACGGTAAAAAAAAAGAGCCTGATTTCCCTACTCCTCCAACCTGCGATGTAATCTGAACCGCCTCCTAGCCCCACGCTCCCCCGGTCTTCCGCGCCCAGGTGCATACTCCCCAGTTCTATTAGCGAAGATAAAGTGGGTACACCATTGACAGAAGTGCGCAATGACACTGGCAAATTATATTATAGATATGAGGCTGTGTATCTATTCCCCAAAAATAGAAATACACTTTTTGAAGTCAGCTGCAACAAATAAAGCACGAAGTCTATTTGTAAACTGACCAATGATATCAAATTATATTTTATTTTCTTGCTAATAGTACATATATTACAGCTGATTTTCACAGAAAAAAAATGCCAAGGTCTGATTGACCATTGTACAAATCAGAAGGCAACATTTATGGTGAACTATGAATAGCCGCAAATTTATTTAAAATTGAAGAGATCTTATTCTTATTTGATCCTTGATACATATCATTAGGCTTAATCCCAAAATGGCCCATAGCCACTTTTAAGTTTAATGCAGACAAATAAAATTACTTCAGCATTTCAAATATTGAATAATAATAGTTTATCAATGAAGACTATGATTAAATATAGAGTATAATAGTGTGTTATATTTTGATTATTTTTATTTTTATTCTTTCCCATTAATTTGAGAGTTCACAAAGCACGTAAAAAGGTGTTACATTTTTTGTCATTTGGTGTTATTGTTGTTGAATATTGTATTATTATATCATATTATTAAAAGAATCTAAATAAGTTTCCCTTGTGTTTTATATTTCTTTTTAACACGTTTTTCTTAACTCAGCTTCGCGTTTGTTTGTTTGTTTGGATGTTTGTTGTTAAAATTGACATCGAAAATTAGCCCACTTCTGATTGCTCTAGAGACCTGAAATTTGGCATGCATGCTACTTTCGCCTAACAATTTCAGATGCAATCATAAAAACTAGCAATTAGTGACCGTAATTAGCTTAATTTAATTACGCCCCAAGGACCATAAAATTGAGGACATGATTTCTAAAGATACCGACAAGACTGGAGGCCTATTGACGTAGTTACTTCGGCCCCAATCGATGTGAGCGCGCTGGCCGTGATCGTATAGTGGTTAGTACTTCGCGTTGTGGCCGCGACAACCCAGGTTCGAATCCTGGTCGCTCAAGATTTTTAGTCCGTGTATTTATAAACACTTTTTTAAAAACCACGTTTTTCATGTGTAGCAACGGACTAAAAAGGAGAAAATAAAATACTTAAAAAAAACGTTTTAAAAAACCACGTTTTTTATGTGTAGCAACGGACTAAAAAGGAGAACGGACACGGTAACACATTGTTAACGGTGACACGGTTGGTACGCTGGGCATGCTAAAATACACATAAACACGTTTTCCTTAACTCAGCTTCGCGTTTATTTGTTTGTTTATGGGAGATTTGATCACGTGATTCGTGAGTAGATCTCCACGCCAGCAACGTAAATTACACCCTTTCTCTGTTTAAAGCGTATCGGTCGCTCAAGATTTTTTTAGTCCGTGTATTTAAAAACACTTAGTCAAGTCATACTTAATCAAGTGATTAGATAAAGTAGAAAATAAACTATATAAAAAACTTTTTAAAAACCACGTTTTTTATGTGTAGCAACGGACTAAAAAGGAGAAAATAAAATACTTAAAAAAAACTTTTTAAAAAACCACGTTTTTCTTGTGGACTAAAAAGTAGAAAATAAATTTTCATACATTTGATGATAAAAAACGTGGGTCGGGCAGATGGGTCGGGAAATTTGATGGTGAACGTACCCACGTTTTTTGTCATCAAATGTATGAAAATTTATTTTCTACTTTTTAGTCCACAAGAAAAACGTGGTTTTTTAAAAAGTTTTTTTTAAGTATTTTATTTTAAAACGTTTTTCTTAACTCAGCTTCGCGTTTGTTTGGTTGTTTGGATGTTTGTTGTTAAAATTGACATCGAAAATTAGCCCACTTCTGATTGCTCTAGAGACCTGAAATTTGGCATGCATGCTACTTTCGCCTAACAATTTCAGATGCAATCATAAAAACTAGCAATTAGTGACCGTAATTAGCTTAATTTAATTACGCCCCAAGGACCATAAAATTGAGGACATGATTTCTAAAGATACCGACAAGACTGGAGGCCTATTGGCACAGTTACTTCGGCCCCAATCGATGTGAGCGCGCTGGCCGTGATCGTATAGTGGTTAGTACTTCGCGTTGTGGCCGCGACAACCCAGGTTCGAATCCTGGTCGCTCAAGATTTTTAGTCCGTGTATTTATAAACACTTTTTTAAAAACCACGTTTTTCATGTGTAGCAACGGACTAAAAAGGAGAAAATAAAATACTTAAAAAAAACGTTTTAAAAAACCACGTTTTTTATGTGTAGCAACGGACTAAAAAGGAGAACGGACACGGTAACACATTGTTAACGGTGACACGGTTGGTACGCTGGGCATGCTAAAATACACATAAACACGTTTTTCCTTAACTCAGCTTCACGTTTATTTGTTTGTTTATGGGAGATTTGATCACGTGATTCGTGAGTAGATCTCCACGCCAGCAACGTAAATTACACCCTTTCTCTGTTTAAAGCGTATCGGTCGCTCAAGATTTTTTTAGTCCGTGTATTTAAAAACACTTAGTCAAGTCATACTTAATCAAGTGATTAGATAAAGTAGAAAATGAACTATATTAAAAACTTTTTAAAAACCACGTTTTTCATGTGTAGCAACGGACTAAAAAGGAGAAAATAAAATACTTAAAAAAAACTTTTTAAAAAACCACGTTTTTCTTGTGGACTAAAAAGTAGAAAATAACTATTTACATACATTTGATGACAAAAAACGTGGGTCGGGCAGATGGGTCGGGAAATTTGATGGTGAACGTACCCACGTTTTTTGTCATCAAATGTATGTAAATAGTTATTTTCTACTTTTTAGTCCACAAGAAAAACGTGGTTTTTTTAAAAGTTTTTTTTAAGTATTTTATTGTTGTGTTATGTTTCTCTGTATTATTTAATTATTTTTTTTTGGGTTTGCATTATGATTTTATCAAGTTGAGCACTTTTTAATGTGCATTTCTGGTGGCTGAATTTCCTAAGTTAAAAGAATACCACCGTTTTATTGGTAAGAATTATTATTGTAGTATATTCTACTGCCCCTCCCTCCCTTCCCCCCCCCCCCCTCCATGGTACACTAATGAAGTCTACATATTAACATGAAGTGCTAGCAGTGTTTATTAGTAAAATCTATAACTTCTACTGAATTTTTCTTTAGATATACTTAGTCTATGACTATTAGGTGGTGACTGTGAGTCTCCGTTGAGACTATACAACATACTGAGTGGTGTCTGTTGTATCCTTGAATTTTTTTTCTTAAGCCTACAATTATGTTGCTAATAAATTATTATTAGCCATATTATGAAAATCTATGGTGGTACATAATTTTCTACCAACAATACATGAGCACTTCTTAAAGATTCATTCTTATGTGGTGGTTAATATGGCAATATTTTTTTTGTAGGCCTGCTGGTGATCAAAAATGAATGATAGATTAGGATACATGGCAGCTTACAATCGTCAAAAAACTCTTAGCCCTCTTCACAATGAAGAGATAAAATCTAGAGAAAGAAAAAGTGCTATCTTTTCAAAGATGGAAAATAAAATTAAGGTGAGCGTCTTGAAATTTTCAGTTATTTGTGATTTATTTTGCAGCACAACTATTTATGTACTATATAAAACTATTTTCTTTTACAGCTACTAAAAGAGGAAAATGGGAAACTTAAAAGTGAACTGAGTGAAATGAGGTAGGTATACTTCATATTAGCTTTAATACTCCATACTATCTTCAAAATAAAAATAAAATGACTAAGGGGACTATAGTTGATTCTTACCTTCAAATTTTATGTGAGCAGTTGAAAAGTGAAGAAATCTCCTTTTAGAAACAACCTTTTTAACTTACTCATTATTTTATTAAGAATACTTCATGTAACACACCACTACAATAAAGTCACACTTAAATGCCATTAAAATCTACTACAAACTTTAACCAGGACCTAATTCTATGTAGATGGTAATAAATTTGTGTAAAATGTTTTTTCCTTAATAGTGCAATTATTAAACAACTTACTGGTGAAAGTTCACATGAAAAATTTGATGAGAGGCGAATAAATATTATAAAACTACAGATTATTCAGTTGGAAAGACAGGTATTTGAGCACATATTTTATGTTTTTCCCTTACATGAACAATTTTTCTAAATATAAATCAATTTTTTTTAAATTAATTTAGCAAAGAACTGCCTAATATAAATTATAATTAGCTATGACTAAACTAAAACCGTAGCATTGTGATAATATGTTTAAATTTTATACTTATAATTTTATAATTAGGTTAGATTTGAAAAATTCAAACATTTTCAATTTTTCTAACAATGCTATTACGTATTAGCAAATAAATATTACCCAAGCCATTTACTAATTTTCAGTAAAACTGATTTGTATTTTGGAAAATTCTCCATGTAAAATTAACATAACATAACATTTTGGGTCTAATTTTGTTTGTTGCATCTTACAAGGGCTTTCATTTATTTGCTGTTTTATTGCTGTGTGATTCTAATCACTAAAAAAAGAAAAATTTATAATGAAATTGGCTTTTTTGGTGAATTTTTGTTTTTAATTTTCTGTTTTTTGTGTGGGTTTAGAACACTACCCCAAAGTAATTACCATTGTTACAGGTTATTTGAAGGTTAGGTTAGAATAGCCTAGAACACAGGGGATAGTGCGGGTGTGAGTTGAGCTAACCCCATGTGTTTATGTATTGTTATCCCAAGGTTGAATGCTGGTATAAATATTAAAAGGTGTGTAAATGATTGTTAGGGGGAGGTAATAGGTAGTTGGTGAAGATAATTAACAAGGGTTAGGATGAGGGAGTAGAAGGCAGATTGCGAGAATGTAAAGGAGGGAAATAAACACGGTAGAAATTACCTGTTCTAGTGTTTTGGTGCGCTTCGGCCAGTATACAGTGAATGAATGCGGATGTCAACAACTGTTGGCCAGTATAAACAAGAAAACGAAAGTCAACTTCAACAACAAGTTCCCTCCCTCTTTTTGATAATGCATGCTATACACAAAATCATTATACTGAGAACCTGGCATTTTATCAAATTTATTTATTTGTACCTTAGGTTGCTATGCTTTTTGAGGCCCTGAGTTCAAGGCAAGAAGCAACTTGTGAAGTGGAAAACATAGTGGCATGTTCAACAAATAAACTAAGGTAACATCGAGACACATTGTTGTTTTAGTATAAAGATTATTGAATACATTCAGCAGTAGTTCTTGGTTTAGTTTCTGGCTACTACCATTCATTAATTTAATGTATCAATTAAATATTTTAAATAATTTATCATTTGATGTGGTTTTGTTTCCTAAAGAACACTTTAAGAAGCACAACTTGAAAGTAAATGTTTATTTTTTAAATTTATTATTAGTTAAGATTTTTATCTTAGTTGATTTCTGCTGCTTTTAATGAAATTTTTGTTCTAATAAAGTGTAAACCTCTTGTTTTAAAGATCATATATAGCAACAGAAACTGGAAGCTCATTAACAACAGTTGCACGTAGTGATTTAATAAATATGGTTGAAAGTTTGGAATCAGCTAGAATAAAACTTTATAAAGCAATAGAAGTAAGAATAAAATGTATTTGTTTAGTGGGTTTTTTTTATATGAACTTTCAGGGAAAAGAATAATTTTATATATGTAAAAATGTATTAAAACAGGTTCCTTATTTAATGTTGAAAAAGGAAATAAATACTTTATGATATAGAAATACTACACCCTTTTTGCAAGTAATTTTACATTTATGGGTCAATAACTTTTCAGGGCTCAAGTAAAGAGTCTGTTGGAAAAGATTTGCTGTTTTTGAATCCATTTTTAGAAGGAAAGTTTAAGGATGGAGAACCATTGACTGTACTTGATATTTGTCTTCATAGGTTTAACTATATCAATCTTCGACTGGTGGTAAGCTATTTTGCTGGTATTTTATATATCTTGAGTGGTATGCTAACAAGTTCTACATCATTTTATGATATGTAATATACTTGAATCTAACAGTTGTAAGCTAAATACCTCACTAACTGCTGTAAATAGCATATTTTTACTAGATTTATTTTGTCTTCTCTGGGTTATTTTTAAATAGTGTGAATTTCGAAGTCTCCCAAGACATCCATGTAGTCTTTAGTTTTTCAAGAAAACTGCCTTCAGGTCGGCCTTGGGCCCCCTCTCTTTAGCCTCCCCGTATTCTGTTCAAGTGCCTGACGTGTCACATTTGTGTGTGCTCCACCCCAGCTCCATGTCCTTATCTGTAATGACATGGGCTCATGTACAGGTCAAAGTGAAGCACAGTGGTGGGATGGCTTGTGTGTCCCAGCCACCCCCAGAGCCATGCTAGTAAAATCCAAGTGATTCTGGCAGGTATAACCATTCCAAACGGGTCTGTGTGTAGGGACCAGAGTAAGCATTGTGCCCTTGTCCTCCAGGTTGGGGTTGTGTAACGGGCTAACTACTCAACTACATAAAACAAAGTATAGTTACAGAAATAAAGGTTTTGTTTGTGAGTAGTAATGTACTATTGGCATTTAAAATGTTAGCCCTAATTTTAATGAAGGTGATTTCTCTTATTTTTAAGAGTCAACTTGAATCAAAAATGTGTACTCTGTATAAGGATCTCATTTGTGTACATGAACAGTTATCAGGAGTAAAGCTTGACAGTTTGCTCTCTGGTAACACGAGTAGTGTTGAGAAAAGCCGGCTGGAAACTATGATTTTAAAGTCTTGTGTGGCTCTCAAAAATGTGGCTGATGATTTAAGCTCATTATCGCTGCTTTGTCCAAGTTCGCCTTGGGTTAGTAAAGCTTTGGCACTTGTTTAAAATTGTTATACAAGCTAATTTTTTTTAATTAATAGCTTTATTTTTAATTAATCAGTTGAAAATATTGAAGGCGTTCAGTTATATGAGCTGACGAAAATTTTGTTTTCTAATAGCCAGAATTAAAGCGTCCTATCACAAAGCAAGTTCCATTAGAGCGTTTGAAAGCTTCTTTCCCACCATTGCCTCACACTAAACAGGAAGAGATAAGTCACATTATGGAATCAGTCATACGAACTTATAACCACAGACAACATCTAATGAAGAAAGAGAAACAAATGTACAAAGAAGAACTGCACTTTCACCATTCTGTATACGATCTCCAGATAAAATATACACAGACATTGTTTGATGCTGTCAGGTTTGAATCTAATTCCTTACCCTACAATATTCCATATTACTCTTTATTAGCTCACAATATTCCAGCATATTTGCCTTTTTAAAAATGTTTCCTTTTACTAAACTTTTACAGTCTTATGTGCCCCAAATTTTTCTTAGTCTTTTGCTTGGTAGTAGAATCTGATATGGCTGAGCTAGGTATATTACATTTATTTATACTTAGTAAAAAAAAGTCTTACTGTTAGTGAGTTATCAAGATACAAGGAGAAGCAGGATAATAAGATATATATTTTTCCCACGTTTTCTTTAACTTGCTTTCGCCTCCCTCTGTTTGTTTGTTTTTCCAATCAAATCTTGCGATCGAAATTTCGGGCACTTCCCAGTTAGCTAGCGCGCTGAAATTTTCAGGGAAGCTTTGTTACCGATGACAATTGAATATTCAATTGTTATTATTACTAAATTGATCCATGGAAACATTTTATTGATCATTTTAGACCACTATATAATTGTACAAAAAACGTGGGAAAAGGGGACATAACCCAGTCATTGTAATTTGATGAAAACAAGGTTCGGTACTCTCCCTCTTTTTGCTTACTGAGTAGTGTTCACGTGGTGTTTGTGTACAAACAACCGGAACAACTGGTGGCCAGTATGGGGGAGACGATATGGTCGAGTGGTTGGGCACACGATTGCTAACCCACTCGACACGGGTTCAAGGCACGTGTTTTTTACGAGTTGTCTTCGTTTACCCAAAAAAAAAGTGAATGCGAAAAGATAAAATCGATAGCAAGATTTTAATGCAAACAAACAGACAAAGACTAAAAAGTAGAAAATAATTATCATTAAAAAAGTTTTAAAAAACCCACGTTTTCTGATTGAACTAAAAAGTAGAAAATAAATGCTATACATCACAATAATGCAAGCGATCACTCTACTATAACTAAGCGATGAAAAACGTGGGGCGCCGTGATTTTCTTACAGTTTCTAATACTGTTGACTCTCTACAAGCTCCCTAATAAAAGTCAATAGTATTATCTAATCAATAGTAATATAACTTTTACTTCGGCGCCCCACGTTTTTCATCGCTTATAGTAGAGTGATCGCTTGCATTATTGTGATGTATAGCATTTATTTTCTACTTTTTAGTTCAATCAGAAAACGTGGGTTTTTTAAAACTTTTTTAATGATAATTATAGTTTTCTTGGTACTCTATCACTAGCAGTTAATTTTCTACAATGTTTTTTTTTAAGAATTTACAGGCTGTGATTTTATTTTAATAAGTGTAGTGAATTGAATAATTTACAGGCTGTGATTTTATTTTAACAAGTGTAGTGTGAATTGAAAAAGAAAGTAGTCACAGAAATTGTGACTAGGTTGAAATTGAATAGCATTTTCTTCTTCTTCTTCTTCGTTCTTAATTATTTGTGTTGAAGGGGATCGAGATTTATCTGCCAGTGGGTTTGAACTCGAGACTTTGTTCAAATTTATCAGCCATGAGCTTTTTGCCGACTCGACCACGCCTTCAACACAATTAAGCATTACGTGTCAACTGGTTATGCGCCATTGAGGCCATTGACTCCAATTTCAGCCTGCTTTTCTTTTTGGATTTTGCTTCCATAGCCTTTGTCCAACCAAGAACAAACTACAAGGCAGCAGTTGTTTAATTTTAGAGTTGTCTCTCCTAGAAGAGCGGCTGTCCCCAGCTAACGAGCCTCATCTGCCCGAGGGTTCGAACTCGAGACTTTTCGGTTTAGCAACCATGAGCTTTACCGACTCGACCACACCGACCCCCGGTGGGGTTTTTTTAAATTGTATTTTTTTTTTGCAAATTATTAAATTATTTCAACTGAACAATAATAATAAACTGGACTATTTTCCTGAATACAAATAATACTTTTTTAAATATATTTAGACATTTTTTTAAAAATAATAAGGACGTCAAAGCAAAAAAAATGTTCACTCTAAATTCCTGCATTAAAGTAAAAGATTGGTTGAGCTCATTGCTCTGCCACATTGATTTCACTAATGATGGATGCTCATTAGAATTGTGTGATCAGGAAATCCCATCAAGATGTTATTGTTAGCAGTCAGTGTTATAGACCAATGACCCCATACGAATCATTCCATCTACTACACAAGAACATTGCAAATCAGAAAATTTATTTTACAGATTAGCATATGAAGAATTTGAGAATTCTGCAAGGCATATCATTGGGGAGCCAACGAAAAGTAATTTTTGCAGTTTATTTATATCTTTATATTTTGTGTGTGTGTATTAAATAAAAGAATAATAAAGGTTGTGGTGTCATGTTGCTTTAATTATCACCATAGTAAAAAGAAGATTATAAGTAATATAAGATTTTAATTAATTTTTTATTAGATATCTTAGATGCTTATAAAAAGCTGAAGACATCAGCTTCAGAGGATGCATTACGAGAGTTTCTGATCATTTTTAAAGAAAATGAAGAGAACGTAAGAAGTTTAATTTTCTATCTTGCATGGTTGTTACAAACCAAAAGTGCATTATTATTTTTTAAATCCTATCTTCAAACAAATGTATCTCTGTTAACTTTTTTTTATAATACATTCTTTAAGCAACTTTCTAGTAAATGCTTTTTATGTTAGGGGTCTCCATAAATGGCGTCAAACTCCCAGGGGAGAGGGGTTTTTGTAATTTTGTGATGGGGGGGGGGGGGGGGGGGGGGGTTCATGTAGTGTGATGTCACACTGATGCAGTTTATAAAAGCAATGTTAGAAACTGAATTTTAGCAGGTTTTTTTTTTTTTAGTAACCTGTTTTAGTTAATTGTAAAAAAAAGGAAAGAATCCTCTATAGATCTAGTGATCCATTGGGCAGATGAAGTAGAGTTCATATGTTTCTTGACCTCGGCATTTGAAAGGATGGTGTGGTCAGCACTTTGCCCAGCCGCCTTTATTTTCCCTAAAATGAGTTGGGTGGACTCAGTGACTTCCTACTAACTTGAACCCCGATTTGAACTCAAGATTTTAAGTTAGAAGCCTAGCACTCTACCGCCATGCCATCCCGTAGTAAATTGTGATAGAAATTAATATATTCTATAGTGTCCATACATTAGAAAGAAATTGGTTTAAAAAAAATTAATTTGCAATTTTCAATAGATGTAGTTTGAGGATTACGTCATTTTATTGGGAGGGGGTCTGGTTTTTTGTGAAGTGTGATGGTAGGGAGGGGGGGGAGAGGTAAATAACATTTTAAAAATGTATTGATTACTCCTTACTTTTAATAGAGAATATTTTTTTCATTAAAATTACATATTATATTTCAGCTATCTTCAGCTGTTGAAAAACTAAATGGCAGGTCTGACAACAACACGGGTAAAACCTTTAAGTATTAAATTGTTAAAAACCTTTTTGAATCAAGTTTTTGTTAACATGTTATTTATTGTAAAAATAATGCATGAAAATTGTGTGCCCTATTTATATTGCACAGTAATAACCCATCCTGTTTGAATTTTTAGGTGTCAAGGTTGTTTCAGAATTTGGTGAAGAGTTTTTTTCTAAAGTAAATTCTCTAGTTACACAATGCCAGTGCAGCAGAGACTTAGCAATGAAAAAAAAGAAAGAAATTAAAGAAGAACAGAGCCGTTTAGAAAGAGAACTGCAACAGTCCTTAGAAGAGCTGGAGTCAAAATATGAAAAACAATGGTGTCCAAAATCAAATATAAAGCAATCGCAGTCCCAGTGTTCGACTGCAGATGAAATATCAAATTCACCACATGTTCATAGTAGAAATATGTCACACAAAAGTTCAACTGTAAACAGACCTGATGTGCTAGAAAACAAAAGTAATCTAAGAGAATGGAAAGATGAATATTTGGTTTCAAAACCAGATAGTCTAGGATTTATTAACCCTAGTAACAGCTCTGCAAATCTAGAAAATGATCAGGATTTATTAAGTTGCGAAAAAACTGACATTCAAGAACATCAAGGAAGTTTTTCAAGTCAAGCACACACATTTGATTTAAAACATGCAAATGAAGAACAAATGGAGAGAGTTTCTAAATTAAAGAGAGGAACAGGCACTCACACAATACCATCCACCACTCACAGAAAACCATGTGTTGCTCAGAAATCGCTCAGGCTCAAAAGATCAGAAAGCAAGCCAGATGAAAACAACTTCAAATTCTAACTATTATATTTTTGTAATAAACAGCAAATATCTTCTGTGGTCATGTTTGTCTTTTGATTTAATTTGCTTTTTGTATATATATTGAAAATGAATGAGATTTGAAAGCTTCTCAAACATGTTCTAAATAAGCAACATGAATTTGAAAGGTGAAAACAGTCATTTAGATTTTAGCGGATATCAACTTCACTGAAGATGCAGACATCAGGTTCAAATTCTTTAATAATAAATTTCTTCGTAAACACTTTTTACAGTTGGCGTTTAAGAGACAAGACTGAATTTGAAAAAAACTTGCAGTGGCTTTGTTTATTTTTACTTTTTCTTTATTTTTCTTAAAGCATAATATAGAGCATGTGCATTTTGAGGGGAAAACATGAAAATTAGAAGCCACTGACAATGATACAAAACATTGTGAATGCATAGAAATCACATTCTAACATAATTTACAGACTTTTATTTTGTATAATATTCAATATATTTTTAATGAATCAATCATTGAATTAAAAATATAGGCATTTATCAAAATGAAGGTAACAATACTTACATGTCAATCTACAAGAGATAAAGTGAGAAATTATTAACAAAAAAAAAATCTAGTGCTTGCCAACATCACATTGAAAACTGCAGTTCACTAAGCTGTACTTGCACAAAACATTTTAAATTAAACACAACAAAATAAATACTTCTCACAATGGAAACGTAATGGCTATACATTAAGAAGTGATGCCATTAGAAACACTAAAAGCAAAGGCAATGCTGAACTAACTTCATCTCTTGTCTACATCAATTTGACATAGTTGCTGAATTTATAAGTTTTATTCAACTTGTTTATAGACCTCTCTGCTTGCTCAGGAAACACAAGATCACCAGGCATTACCTCATTGTAAAACAAAGGTAATAAATATAACAGCAAGAAATTTCAAACAAAAATGTAACCAGCTTTAAACTATATACAGTCTATTGAGCACACAGACGTTGTAACTTTACATTGCTAGCCTATCCAAAAGGTTTATTTTTCTTTAAATTATCTGACGTATCTTAGGCAACTCACCATAAAAACATGTATACACAAAAGTGGAAAACCTAGAAACTATTTCCTTTCCACTACGAGCCATTAACTTGATTCTTTTGAAGCTGATCCAAATATGCAAGAATTGACAAAGGAAATAGTGTTATTATCTGATATGTTTCCCAGACGAGAAAATGACAAAATCAGGTGAACAAGTTTTGTTAAAGGCAGACCTTAAGTGTTTTAAAAAGGTACTATCACAACAATTCCTACATCAGTACTTTTCTACTTATACTACATAGCCAACTGTTTTGCTATATGATTGTTCAATAAAATAATAGATGAATAAAATCACAAGCAGTGAAAAGTTGTTTAAACAAAAGCGAAATTTATTGTAATAATTATAAAAAATTCGCTAACACTCAAAAAACATTCTAGATGATAATAAAAAATAATATTTCTGGTTTAGAAGGCTATTTTCATTTCTAGCTAAATTTCTAATTTAAATAATTACAAATATGTAAACATTATCATCAAAAACAGCATTATTTAGGTTCAGTTGAAATTAATTTTTGGAAAAAATTTTCAGTTCAGGTACATGACCAGACAGCTGCTTGAATTTTAGAATTGTTAACTTTGGTGCCTGCACCATGTTTAAATCACAGCACAATATTACAAGTACAACTAAGGGAGAACTCTGTTGTCAACCCTATTTAAAGTAACTTACATTTATAGAAACATTTGTAAAATTCATGCCTTTTAAAGCGCATGTCAAAGTGAAGCAAAATTTGGATACACACAACATCCAAACAGGAATATTTGAACAATGAGGAAATAAGTAGACCGACTCCCACAGTGCTAACTTTTTTCAAAATGTATGATGAATACCAATATGTACATTAAATTGGTTAAAACTTTGCAATAGAACTGACATGAAAGGTGCCAAAAAAAAAACAACTAAATAAACTTGTCCTTGAAATTGAATACAACATATCAAAAAGTCACTCACATATTTCCTCCTTTAGCACTGATGACAGGTAATTTATGTTGTTCTTGATACACATTTTTATAAATATACACACCTAGTTCCCAACTTAAATAAATTGATGGAACTATGTTATATTAGGAGATACAGGCTTAGTGTTAAAAAAATATTGTGGTAAAAATACATGAGCATTGTAATTGGGCAAAGATTTTTTTTAAAGAATTTTAAAGAACTTGATTTCTGGAAGTTTCAACTAATAAAAATATAATGAGATGCACAAGTGTATGTTTTAACTAATTCCTTAATTTACTATGCCATGGTTTCTATTGTGTAAAAATGTTTTTAAGAGTGAGGCTGCTGGTTTGATTTTAACAGTTGGAAAACTACATATGCTTAATTTACAGTTTCTTTTCAATAATTGATTTTACAGTAAAGTACATACAAGATTTTCAAATTTAGTTCAAATGAACAATTCAGGTTGGGTACCGGTATGTAAACCAATTCTAAGCTAGTCTTAGTAGGGCTACTTAAGGGACGAAAAGTGCGTTAACATTATTGACTGTTTAACTAGTATAACGATGATCCACTTACAAATATTAAGGTATGTGTATATGTTTGTATGTAAAAACATAAACCATATATTTCTTGTTCATAGATCAGATGCCATTTATGAGTCTGCACACTTGTGTCTATGCACTACTAATAGATTTCTCCACAAAAGGCAATGTCTGAGTAGCATTACATACCTATTTTTACCAAAAACACTTCACTATCTTATTAAACTATAAACATAATCACAAACAAAAAGGAGTGAAGAATAAATCACTATTGTAATGGGCATTTCCACTAGCAACGGTCTCAGCTTGGCTGTATGTCCATAACTTTACAAACCCATTGTCCAATGGAGATTTCAGAATTTTCATATTTCTTAACAAATGGGTGATTCTGCAAATAAAAATATTTCATTTAAAAAAATCTTATTTAAGAAACAGGCTGGGGGGGGGGGGGATATTTCAAAATTCATAGTTCAAGAAAAACAATTGTAACATTTTTTTAAAGAATATACTTTCAGTAAGATGCAAGATTATTATTGTAATAGCAAGATAGTTTTAATGGTGTGCCAGGCCAGTTTAGTGCTAATTTTTTTCCCCAAATGATGTGTAATATTGTTTAAATATAAATAAAGACATCAGAAACTGAAATATTATTTAAATATAAATTATATCAGAAGCTGAAATACTTTTGTTATACTAAGCATAACAGTATAGTGCCCTAGTTGAGCTTTTATTGTGAGGCAACTCATCAAAAGATGTATGCATTATTTTAATATCTACAAAATGCTATTCAAAACTATGATTTTAAATTTTCTTTATCCTGTTTTATATTAACTATCTTATGCCAGGTTTGTCATGTTTAAGGCTTGAGCTGGTATTATTTTAAGAAATAGGTTCAAAGTTAGATGAAGTTTAAGTTAGTTTACGAGATTAAACTCTAGTTGAGAGGAATCTTTCTTCCCAAGCTCTGATTGGTTTAATGTGTTTGCATCAGGACACACTTTTTGTAAGCCAACCAGCAATATCATCAGACAGGGATTTGATTGGAACTTTAAAGAAAGTGGAACAAGGGTAGGCCAAACAAACTTGGAAAGGGCCGGTCATCAGTGAAGCAGAAGCAGCCAGAACAGAGTACGATGGAGGTGTGGTTGCATCCATTTGTTCCACAAGGGGTCCAAAGAAATGATGATGGGTACGATTAGGTTGGTGTTGCTTTTGGGGTTGGATTAAGGTTAGGATAGGGTTTAGAACAAATTGTGTTCATAGTAAAGAAAAGAAAAGATTCCTCTTTAGACCTAGCAGATGAAGTAGAGTTCATGTTTCTTGACTTCGGCATGGTGTAAGTGTTGTCCATAGTAATTTGAAACTTAATCATTCAACTTATGTTATCAACTTGTTATGTACAAATTCAGTGATCCAGGACGGATCAATCAAGATTAGGGTTAATTTATTATATGTAAAAGCATTATGGTAATGATATAGAGTTGATTTTCATATTGGCATGAAACTGTCTCTAAAATGTTTACCTATGCCAAGGCAGCTGGGTACTTCAACTAGCTCTGAATAGCCTGGATTAGGAAATCTGTTTTATTTACTTATTTTTCTGAACATTCAGATTTTTTTCCCTCTCAAGTATGGGCAGCTTAACTAGTGAAAGTAATGATTTAGCTTATGCTAAATTTATTTTAGGATTAAAAATATATTTTTTTCAATTGATATAATACTAAAGGCATTGTGTTTATCTTAATGTTTCTCTTGTTTTCAAATTATCTTTATTTATTACTTGTAAATTATTGTTATTTAAACTCAAACATAATAAGCTGAGACTATTTTCCTTTTTTTAAATTATATACACCTATAGTAGATATTTTTAAATAAATTTATAAAACAAAATCACTTTGCTTGACTGTACAGCAAGTGTAATGGGATAAACAAATTAAGGCTATTTTCAGACATCTTTAACACAGAAGAGATAATGTAATATTTTTAGAAGTAATACAGCTTGTAGACAAAATAAATCTAAGAACTCACAATCAGTGATTGAAGATCAGCTCTGTCAGATGGATTTTTCTTTAAACTGTAAAAAAATGTAATTACTTTTTAATGACAGTTATGTTTATTTTTTTTTAAAACCCACAAAAATAAACCAGCATAGACATACAGACTACATTTTAGTCTCCTATGAATTTTAAAATTTACATAGAAACTATTTGTTGAAATGTTACTCTTATAATTTTTCATAAACTTAACTAAAATAAGGGAATCACTTTTGTTTTCTAACAATTAGCTCAGGGGTCTCCAAACTACGGCCCGCGGGCCGAATGCGGCCCGCGAAGTCCTCTCATCCGGCCCGCCGAGATCTTTTTGTCCACGGAAGAAAACTTTTGTTGGCGATGGCTGAGGAACTTTGTCCAGAAAAATCAAAGACATGCCTGGAAGAAACTGGCCCCCCAACTAGTTAATGCGGCCCTCGGACTGAAAAGTTTGGAGACCCCTGAATTAGCTAATTAGCATTAATTGATTTATTAATCTCAAGGTTTACTCACCATCTATCCACAAAATCTACAAATTCATCTGAAAATCTTCCTCTGGGTAAGGTTGGTGGAGGCTGGAAAAAAAACCTCAAGTTAATTGTTATATTTAACATGAAGCAGCCTGGACTCTTGTCACTTTATTGGAATTTTAGCTTTAATGTCACTTTATTGGAATTTTAGCTCTAAATGCTGATGCACTTAAATTGAAGCGGAAATACTAATAATCAATGTATAGTTTGATATATCCAAATTACAACTAATTTTTTATCAATTTTGAAATCAAATAGTTTTTTTTTACTATTCAACTGACATTTAGTATTCCGAATATTAAATAATTCTGGCCAAATATAATTTCACTTTTAGTTTAATGTATTTTTAAACATGAATTGGTAAATGATCTATAATTATCACCACATTCCTTAAAGACACTGTAATTTTAATTCTCAAGAACAAAAATTAAAACAAGCAGTAATTAGTGTTAACAGTACTTTGAAAACCTGCATTGTAAGTCACTTTTAAAAAATATTTCTATAATATTTTGATAACTAAATAGGTTGTCAAAATGCCATAGGTAAATTAAACTATAGTCTAAAACAAAACAAGACACTGATCAAGCTTGCAAAACAAGTGCTTACTAAAACTACTATGTTTGTCTAAAACAATAAAATTCAATTTTTTACCCACCAAAATTTATTCACTCAAATACTGATGGTTTCTCAAAATACTTAAAATATATAACAATTATGCTTTTTTTTAAATAGCCATGTGAAATGTTAATAATTTTAACATGTAGAAGTTATATTAACTATGTGAATATAGCCGTTTAGTTATCCTAGTAAGAGAACCCTTAAGTAGATCTTGAAACCAGTTTCATATGAAAACATCTAAGCATTCTCAAAATGAGAAAAAAAAAGTATGCCATGCTGGTGCTACAATATTCAACAAAGCGAACCTACAACAATATAACAGCTTGGTTTCTTCTCAATAATTAAAGGCACCATTAATAACATTCTGGCCTGTTTAAATAGCTGAAAAGTATCACATGGTCTACCCTTTTAAAAAATGTTTTAAAATAAAAAACCATTTCATGTTTGTCATTTTTTTCAAACAACTTAATCACAATAAAGACAATTTTCACATAACTAGCATATGCAATTTTTTAAAACCATTCATTTGTCGAAATGTTAATAAATAGAAAAGATGCTTGTTATACCCAAACATACTGGTTAAGTGAATGCATAATAAATGTGGCGGAGATATAAATGTGTAAATGCACTATTTAGTGTCGATAGCTTTAAATGTGTATGTTAGTGTGTGTGTGTGTATATATATATATATATATATATATATATATATATATATATATATATATATATATATATATATATATATATTATATATATATATATTATATATTATATACACAACACATACATTTTAACTTTTTTCATCCCATGAAAGGTATTGGGATGCAAGCACAATGTAGGTGCCTGAATTCGCATATTTTTAAAACACTTTGTTGAAAAGAAACATGTTAACGATCAGTAATAAATATCTTTATATAATTAGAGTATTGGTCAAATATTTATATGTGGTAGAAACAATCTTGTGTGTGAACTAGAGTTATTTGTTTTTTTAAAGCAGTCACGGTATGCCATAGAATTAAAATTATAAGGGATATGTATGTGCACGGATTGAGTGAATATTTGTATGGATATGTGTATGTGTGTGTGACAGAGAGAGAAAGAGATGATCTAATTATTGGATTATTTAATGATAAATATATAAATATAAATCTACATATGGGATGGTATGATAAAAATCCTGTTAAAATGAATCAGTCTAAATTGAGACATAAAAGATATTGGGATTAGACACAGAAAACACATTTTAAGTTACTTTTGTTGAGGGCATATTGGAAGAACATAATTGACCAAAAAGAGAAAACTAAACATTTTGAACAAAATGAAAACTTGAAAATTTAACAAGACCTATGAGACCTCTTTTGATGAACTTAAAAAATAGGAGAACTTCACAAGCAAATAAAAACATCAAGTCTAAAAAGCAACCATCACAATTTTAATACAACATTAGATAGGAGTCAGGAAACACATTCTACTTCTCTCACTTGTTGAATGCATTTTTTTTATTAAGAAGCCTAAACATATACTGACCAAGGAAAGGTCCAAGGTAACATTATCTAAGATAGAGAAACAGACTTGACTATGAGACCATGCACATTCTTCACAAAGCAATGAAATGACTAAATATTTATTTTCAAAACTACACAAACAATTTTGCTATGAGTCTTGCCAAGCCCAAGATAATTCTTTTCGATGCATGGTTTAATTTACTAGAAAAGTACATTATCTATGAAGGACTGATTTGCACCAATGTAATGGATGACACATTTTTGTATGTATAACAACTAAATAATTAACTCACACAGCAAAAATTCCCCAACAAAACCATTTAAAAGACAATAAAAGATAGTTGGAAAAATTGAAACAAAACAAGAATCCTTATAACGGATTTATGAATAATGTGCAATTGTTGCAAGCTTGATCAACCACTTACATTATAAAAGCAAAATGCAGAAAGTGCAGACCATTGTAAGATTTAGATTTTTCTTCACAAAATGTAAGTCAGAAAGAGAATATAGACAGAAAATAACACAAGCCCACTAAGTGTGCAATACAGCACTAAAGACATTTTCTTCAACGTCCATTTTTTTTTTAAATTGGAAACAAGGGCAATTTCATATTACATTTAAGCAAACAACATGCATATTGGCATTTTGAGCAACTTAATAATCTAAATTTAAAATAACTAGTGTATAAATCTGCATACACAGTAACTTATGTCAACATAACTTAAACATTCATATTAAATATTTAAGCTATAAATGACAGCAATAAATACAGTAACCACAAGTAAAAGCTATGTAAAAATTAGCCATTAAAAATGTATGATAACATGCTAGAAAAAGAAAGTTTAAACAAAGTCAAAAAGAAAATGTTAGAGGTCTCATAATGTTAATGTTTAAGGAGAATTTAAAATGATAGTGCTTGAAGCAAATTAAAAAAAACTGAAGTCAGCAATAACTTTAGTTCTTGTGCAAAGTATGTAGGAAATTCATGTTTTGTTTTGTCAACATGTATAAATTTTGTTAACCTCAAGCACGAATCATATTAGATGTTTAAATTCTGTAAATGAAATTCATAGTTTGAGCTTTAAAACATATATACTTGTATATACGAACATACATATATATAGATATATTGTTTCCTAGCACCAGACTGTTTTAACTCCATTTTTTGCTTTTTTCAAGATTTATACACCAATGTGTTTTAAATCCACCAAGTCATCATGACAACAAATTTCATAGCCAAAATCTCTCACCATTATTACACTATTTACACAACACTTTAATTTCACAAAGTCCTTAAAATACAAATAATAAGGAAAACACTTCAAAGCCTTGCTGTGAACATTTTTTAAAGTGGAGTTAGAACAGTCTGAAAATTCTCAATAAGATAGTATGAGTTTAGCTGTCTGCATGTAACTCAAAGTATTGAAAATGAGTATTAAGAAGAAATAAGACTACGGAGTTTATCATGTATGTAGCTTTACTTACAAATTATTTTGTAAAATAATATCTGCATTATTCCCAGCTTTTAATATTGGGAAAAGGGGAGTGATATAATAGATCATAATTTAATGCATAAACTAGTGCCTCACTTAAAACTAATTGGGTAGAACTTAATATTTGTGAAGACAAAAATAGTTTGAAAAAACATTTTCAAGAGTTGAAACAAAATCAATACCATCACTGTTCCAAGTATCTTAAACCCGTATTTTATCAACTGTATAAAATTAAGCTCAAACTATGTAATCGTTTATGATTTAAATGTACCAAAGTACCAGTGATCACATACCTCATTCACAATGTAATCTAAAAGCTCAAATATGGCCATAGATCGCGGTGCCTCAGCAGCGCCCCCCATCGTTGGTACCATATAGTTATTGCGGGTGCCTAGAAAGCAAGAGAAGACAACCCAGCTGTTACAGACGCACACACACTGAAAGCTGGAAGTCTCCGACCAGTAAGGGGAGGCAGCCACAGGAAGATCAAATCAACATCAAAGTGGGAAAATAATCATTAACAAAACATAACTTAACATAATGAACATAAGGTGGAGGGTGATATAGATATGGAATGGAACATGAATAAAAAATATGATAACATGGCACAAAACAAAGATTGCTGAAATAATTGATAATGAAAGTGATTTTTAAAAAATGATGAAAAAACAAAGATTTTCCAAAAGCATTATAATTGACTATCTATACACAACTGTAAGAAATTGGGCTGTCATTTTTACACATAACCTACAAGTGCATTTAATTTGCAAAAAGAGACTAATAATTCTGTATTCCAATATACAAAGTAAGTTTTTTTGGCTCCTGGTGTAAACAAACAGTTAAAGGGGAACCCAACACCTTGGAAATGTCTGCCTGTAAAGCTGTCCATATTTAATTGTACTAGATTTTAGAGAATGGCAAGCAAAACAAAAAATTTTGCTTAGCAAAAAAAAAATACAAAACAGCAAAAACATCATAAAAGTGATAAGACTAAATTAAATGCACAAACTAAACAAAAAAGAACATGATAGATATTGTATAGAAGAATAGCTTTGAGTGACACATTATAATGCAGATGGAAAGCATCTTTGAATTAATGAACCACAGCACAATCTCCTGGAAGACACTTTTAACTTGCATGATTTTGAATGATTTTTGTGATTTAAAAAAATGGATACTTTAACAACTCTTTTTCTAGTGGTGGTGGACATTATATTGTAAATACCTAGCTTAGTTCAATTGTAAACTTGTAGTGATTGGATGAACCAGCAAGTAGCTGAGTGTAATTTAATGTCATTTTAATGTAATTTTTGTTTGCTAGTCACATGCATGAAGCAAATGCAATGACACTTTGTGTACATCTGCATAATGTTTTAAAGCTTTAAAACAGCCATGCAATTTGACTGAAATGTGAATTGTAGCTTGTCATTTTTAATTTTAATAAGTTTTAATAGATTTCTATTTTTACTGGACAATGTATGAATGTGTAGTAAACCACCAGTCTCAAGCTTTAACTAGTTTTCCAGCCACATTTATCTGAACATTTTAAAATGTATCTATTTCATCTACACAAACTAAAAGCATTAAACTTTTTAATTAATTTAAAAACTATATCATTGGATTAACTACTAAGCTTATTTGAGGAGTGGGAAGTTTGCAGTTAAAAAACTTGCATAATGACTTTTAAAAAAGCTTTTGTGATTTATTTAGCAGCAGCCCAGGAGGTTGCATGCGGTTCTGATAAAAATGCACAAGATAGACATAAATTAAAAACAGTATTAAAAGTAGTAGTAAATACTGATGGACATCATGCAAAGGACTTCCATGGGTTACCTCGTTGACTATATATTCAAGCAGTTCAAAAATGGCCATTGGTAGAGGCCCATCTCCAGTAAAAACTTCTATGTCTCCTGGACAAGCTGCAAGGTAACTCAGAGTGTGGTTGTACAAGAAAAGGTAAAGTGGGCAGAGAGCAGAGAGAGAGGGGGAATGATTATATGTTACTTATATACAGATGTATCATAATACACTTGATACAGAAATGAGAAAAACTGAAAATTAAACAATTGTTTTTGGAATCATTTTAACATATTTTTTTTGTAACAAATTATGTATGTCAAACAAAATATTTGACATCAAAATCATTCTAAGTAAACTTATTTTTATATGGGTGTTTTGGTATAAATTCTTTTAACAAAATGCATCAAGCAATTATATTTTCAATGTATAGTTTGTAAAATTGAATGAGAAAGGTTACTAGATTTTGGGTTTATTTTAAAGTTTTACAGAAATCCTAGCTTTAAGATGGGTACGGCCTACTTCATGTGAATTAAACATTAACCTTTCCCAAGTAATTATAATTTTACATAGAAGGAACACTTTTAATTGAGAGTGTTTACATAATTTCCTCATTCAAAATGTAGAGCTGGCAATACATTCATAATAAATACAAGTGATCAAGTGCAAAAAACACTGACCTTTCAGGGGTTTTCCTGTTTTGGCGGCTTCTAAATGTTCTTCATTAGCATTTTCTCCAAAAATACTTGCCAGATCACGAGGCTCTGGTGGAGGCACTGGATATCTTCCTATTGACATTTCAACCAAAGATAATCCAAGACTCCAAATATCTGACTGAACTGAGTAATGAGTACCTTGTAACCTCTCAGGCTGTAAAAATCATTAGAAATTACTTAAACTAACATCTCATAAAAATATTTAATTTACTTACGCTTTTTAATATGTATTGATGTCTGAATAAATGTATATAAATGCACTCTCAGACTATAAACAATTATATTCTTTCAAAGTTCAACCACAAAGTATGAAAACATACCGCCATATATGACCTTGTTCCAACAAAAGAATTGGCCATTGAATCTATAAGTTGACCACTGACTCCAAAATCACACAATTTGATTTCTCCTCTTGAGTTAACAAGGATATTGGATGGTTTCACATCTTTAAAAAGTTTTTAAAGTAGCATTATTACAGAGACAAAGGTTTTTTTTAAGATTTAGATTCACAAATGTCATTGTGTATTCTTTACATAATATTTCAATATTCAATAAAAGATAAAATGCCATTACACTACATCATATCTGCTTTTTAAAAAATTTACATGATTCATGTAATATATAATTACCTATAATTGATAAACCATTACTATCTGTTAAAATTATATGATATTGCATAAAGAAACTTGAACCATAACCTTGTGTTGTGATGTTTAAAAAAAAAGAATTCAAAGTACATTTTCTGTAATCATGAAACCATTTTCTACAGCTTTTGATAATAAAATGTACCTGAGCAGAACAGCCAAAAATACAGATGTTTCTGACAAAAATTGTCAAATAATTCAGACTGCCAAATTAAGAGAAACTAACATCATTTTAAAAAAAAGATTGAGTACCTCTATGTATTATTTGATGCTTTTCTCGAAGATATGATAATCCTTTAAGAACCTGAAATAAAATAGTAATGTTTCCAAATTCACTGGATTTAAGAAAAACATTTTTAAAATGTATAATAAATAAAATGCTTATTTAATCACTTGGAAATATTTTTTTAAAATATACTCACTGCAATATTAATAATGCCTAAAATAGGTTCAGGAATCCTTCCAGCTTTTCTCAGAATTAAATCTAGAGAACCACCATCCTTTAAAAAATAATTTTAATTTGATAGGGATAAAATCAGTGTGTTAAATAAATTTTAAAACTTAATTATTGTTCATTAAGGCTTACATAAGTAATACTAAATTGCTTTCATCTGTAAACTGCAATTGGGTATCATGTTCAAATAATGTAAAATGGGAGTTTGATATAACAATTGCTTCTTCAAAACATCTATCTTTGTAAGTCAATGATACACTTCCCACTCATTATTTTTAAAAAGCTGGAAATGAGCAATTCATGGTTGACTTCTAGCATTTATTTCCATTTAAAATGTGCAAAAAAAAAGGGGGGACTGGCCATTTTCAAAGATATTTTGGGAATATTTTTCAATACTATGGAAATTATTTCATAAACTGACCTTAGCTGTTCAGTTAAAAAAAAAAAATCATAAAAGTTTCAACTAACAATGATTTAATAAAGAATAAGCAGTCTTTTAAAAAGTTGAATAAAACTGGGTATGGCAAATTTACAAGCTAAAATTGAAATCACAATTTTAGGAAAAAGAAAAACAGCCCTTTATTTTTATTCATGGTTTGACAATGAAACACATTAATAAAAAAATGAGGTGTGGTCATTTATTTACCATAATGACCAGAAAATGTAGGTCATGCTACCTAGCAGGCTACCAACCTTAAGTTCATAAAATGTACAGTATATTATAATTACTTGAATATTTGACACACACACAAATTTCTAATTTGGCCTAAGCAGTACGTACCATATATTCCATACAAATACTAATCTCCCCATCACTATAGAATGCACCATAGTATCCCACAATGTAAGGTGAGTTACATTCATGAAGCACTTTCAGCTCTCGAAATATTTGGTTCCGTACCATTGGTTTAATTTCAAGATGAATCAGCTAAAAATATAAGTTATAAAACAACCATTGGTTACTTCATCTAGTATAAACATAAATGACATTTTTTTGACAAATTTGAGTTATTTTAAAAGCTGGCTTTACTCCAATAACTTTCTTTTAATAATAATTTAGAACCCATTTCTTGATTTTAACCTAAAAAATCAAATTTAATAGTTAAGTAATTATTCTTATAATTTAAATCAAAGGCTTTTGATGAAACTTGAATTTTAAAAATATTTTAATAGCAGTATTCAAATTTACCTTACGGGCCATAACAAGGCCTGATGGATGATGTTGAACTTTCGTGACCACTCCTCCATTTCCTGCTCCTAATTCTCCAAGTTTTTTAAAGTCATCTTCAATCAACTCTCCAATCTTTTGCTTTTGAGAAAGAAATTCCTCCAGTCTCTCTCTTTGCTGATCATCAATATCCAATTCCTGAAGCTTTTGTTGTAGAGCCTCCAAATTTGCCTGAGCTCCATTCTGTCGACTGTATTCATTAAAAAAAAAGAAAAATAACACTAATATTCCTTTTTCACAGGTATTGTTTAATATTTCAATATTGCTTATTGATATTAAGGAATCTACAAAAGTTTATATCTAAGTAGGGATAAAAAGTAGGTTACTTCAATAATAAGCTTAGTAGCGGTAGACCTAAGCAGCCAAATTTGTGCTCATTTTGCTTAACTTAATCTGACCCGACTGTTTATTAACAGTGTTTACTGGATCAAGGATCATGCCAATCCAGATAGCATGGTGATACACCTAATCCAGCCCCAGGCTCAGTGTGGTTGTCGGATTCCTAATGCTGTCCCTGTCCAGTAGTAGTAAACTTAAGAGTAGAAACTGCCTACAGTCAGGGTCACTGTGAGTTCACATTGGTTTAGATATGAATGATGTAGGCGAATAGCATACATCATAGCAAGACCATTGCTATCTGAGCTTGTCGAGATTTTTCGTTGAAAGGACGCAGTCCGAATAGATGCATCCAATAAAAATAGTTTCAAAGTCTTTCTTTAAATTTGTCCAGTCTGAAGAAAATTATGTCCACTAAAAGAATCTTTTTCAAAATGAGTGATGTTTAAGTTAGTAGTAGTTAACTAAATACACTATAGACATAGGCCCTATGTCTTCCTCATGTCAATGACAATGCAAATTCTATACCTAACCTAAACCCTAGTCCTGCCATAAACGGTAAACCTAACCTTAATTTCTAACCACAAAAATACACTTGAGATTACAATGCTACCAACAACCCAACACCTATTTTTGAAAGAGTTTGTTATTGGACATCAGCATTTTCAAATCAATAATCTGAAAATTCATATAGATCTAAAGACACACACTTTTATAGATTTGAGATCCAGATTCTAAAAAAAAAGGTGGATGATTATAGATACTGGTGTCTGATAATAGACTCTTCCATAAAATAGGTGTGTTGGGTTGTTAGTAGTATTGTAATCTCGACTAATTTAGAAATTAGGGTTGGGCGTATGGTAGGACCAGGGTTGGGGTTAGGGTTAGCATTGACATTAGCCAGCCATATGTGTATTTAGTTAACTACCAGTAACCTAACACCCCTTTTTTAAAAAAGATTCCATTATCGGACAAGGTAAAAACATTCTCCCAAAAAGGATAATTGATTGCATTGTTATCTCATTATTAATTATAAAAACTTGTGTGCACTACTGACTCAAATTTTATGAGTGATAGCTCTAGACTCTAGGCCCTAGGCTTGATTGAACTTTGGAGTCAGAAATATCAGACTAGATTCTAGATCCTCCCTACAGACTGCAGTGGCAGTCAATATTCTTTCTAGATTTCTAGATCTAGATCACTAGATCCTAGATCAGACTAGCTAGTCACTAGTCTGTCTAATAACTAAAATAAAAATAGATAGGATAGGCCTAGCATTCTATTGTGTTACGCTGTTAAGAGACTTAGATCTAGAAAGTAGTCTTAAAAAAGTATTGTAAAGTCAGATGAGTTAAGGTTAGGCGTACGGAGTTGTTTATTGTAAATTACAATAATTTATCTTCACTCACTCGCTTCCGTCTGTCTGTGGCTCAGATACGGAAATCGTCAGATTTAGCTTGTTCTTGCCTATTGGCATATTTATTGGTTTTGATATAGATCTATCTTTTGATTACTAAACACTTAAAAAGATGCAACAGTATATTGTAGTCATGGTTATTAATTCAACTATAAATCGACATTATCTTAAACTAAGCAGGTCTAACAGATTAACAACAGACACCAATCAACGTCTGTTCTACTTTAGTACTTTAGGCATAATATGAGGAAGTGGAATATATGTTAAGCAGACTTTACATATTCATGAGGACGTACACAATCTGTTTCGGTTTCCAAGTTATAAATTTATTTTTGAAACTGCGTTTTAAAGTTGTTGTTTTTTTTTAATTTATTTATCAAATCCCAAATTTCATGCTTTTTCATTGAAGATAATTTTTTTCTGTAAAATTATAGATATAGATATAGATCTAGATTGTAAAGGTTATGATAAGTATGTATTAATATGTAATAATGTAACAGTTATAAATTGCGTATCACTAAAGTAGCTAAACGAGCGGATTGTAGAAAACAGATACATGCTCAGTGTTTCTTCCAGACTTTTTTCTCCGGGGGGGGCACTTGAAATCTTCGGGGGGGCGGTAAACTTTCTTCAGGGGGGCGGACACTGTTAAAAGTATATATTTTCTATATAAATTATATAAAATTCATGTCGTTCGGGGGGGGGGGGGGCGGTAAAAATTTTTCGGGGGGGCAAAGCCCCCCCCCCCGAAGAGATGCCTGGAAGAAACTCTGTACATGCTTATTGTTATGTTTGTTTAAGTAGGACTTCAACTGTTGATTCGTTATTATCCTGTTACGCTCGTACAGTTGGATGTCGCAAGTTACCGCGGGGTGAGGGGTGGCATGCAGTAAAAATTAACGAAGATGTGTTGGGGGAGGGGGGGGAGTGGCGAAACAACCATGTATCTAAGGTGGACAAAATCTACGGGCAACTGAGGTCCAGAGCCCCCGAGCTAGATAAGGATCGTTAGGTTAGGTTTGCAAGTCAACCCCCTGGGACATAACATAGGCCGCGGACAAGAGCTTCCCAGCAGTGTTTCTTTCAGACTCTTTTTCTCCAGGGGGATACTTGGAATTTTCGGGGTGGGGGGTGAAGAAGACGGACATTGGTAAAAGTATATATTTTCTATATAAATTCTGTTTCGTTCGTGGGGGGGGGAGAGACGGTAGACGTTCTTTGCCACCCCCCCCCTCGAAGAAATGCCTGAAAGAGACTATACTTTCCAGCACGAGGCATCTCTGTCCAGGGCTAGTCTCGATCCTAACTGGCCCAAGGTGCATCCAATCTTCTTTTTGTTTTCTTCCAGGTCACATTAAGTATTTGGAGACTCGATAATTATTATTTTGTTTTTCTTCATTATTTTTTAGAAGAAAAACAATACTCGGAATCGACTCTTTTTCATCAATTTCTAGCCCATAGCAGGTTTTGTACAAGCGAACAAAATTTTAAGTGGACTAATGTAGAAACCAAATGCAAATATATGGAGAAAATATCTGGTAAAGAGTACTCCAATGGGGGGGGGGGGGGAGTGGACTAAAAAGCAACTATATTTTAATGAGAAAGGCCGCTTTTCCCAGTTAGCTTAATAACCTTAATGTGAGGTTACTTACATCATTAGAACATACAGTATAGGGTAGAGTTGGACAGTAGGTACCCATGTGTAATTCGTACCACCCTCATTTCGCTCACCCGGCCAATAGAAAACTGCGGAAACACTCTAAAATCATTCTGGATGATGCAGTATCTGTGCTGACAAAAAATAAATAAATTAGGAAACGACCCTACGAAAGAAACGGCAAGTCATTTTTTTGTGTTTTGTCATTGTTTGATGTAATGTCTGACTCGTCTTTCTAATTATGTAATGTCATGCAGCAGAAAATACATGTAGGCCTATCTCGATTTATTTTTTTTTGTCTAGGGTGACGACAAATTCATTCTGTTTCATTATGAAACGCATTTTTAAAAAAAAAATTCTATGCTGGTCAAAATAAAATACGCAAGCTAAAGTCTATTTGTAATCTAATCAGCTAAATCATACCACTGAAGATCTCAAAAAGCGTTTCGTCAGCCCAATGGAGACAATGTTTGTGTTCATATTATGAAGAAAGGGTCTGATATAGATCTAGTTTGAAATTAACTTTTCAGCTCGCCGAGAAAAAAATCAACTTGCAACATGACTATCATAAAACAAATATATAATTGTTGAATTGTTGGCAAAGATTGGTCAACTCTTTCTGTTTTATAAAATTAAAACACTACAGCGGTAGACTGATCATAATCCATTTGTAGGGCCACATTTCAAGCCAAAGGTTCTTTTATTTCTATATACTGGATAAGTTACACTTGAGTCCAACATATTTAATCTGACAACATTTGAAGGAGCAGATGTCATATTCAACTCGACAACTATAATATGTCTAAAGAACTAAATGTTTTGCGACTGCAAGATTATGCAATAACCACAGAGTTTCTTCAGGCAAATAAAAATATAAAAACTGGTAAATATAATTTTACCAGTGTCGGTCCCCGTCCCTCCCGGAAAATTTAGTCTGCCCCCCCCCCCCCCCAAATAATTTCAAGTGCTTCCTTAGAGAAAAAAGTCTGAAAGAAACACTGAATGACCATTAGCCATTAGCTGTATAGAAATTAGTACAATAGTTCTAAACATATTATCTTTGTAGTGTTATATCCTTTGGGACTTTTTTTTTGCTTCATCATTGCAGTATTATTTGGAGTGTGGGTAGTACCGTTTTGAAACTTTTTTCTTAAATACTGTGCTCTTTCTATACAATAATTATACATTGCAACCATGATTTTTAAAATCTAGGGTATTATAAAGTAAAAATAAACTGTTCTCGAGGTCAAGTTTTTTTTTAAATTATTTTTTTCTGCACAGAGAATTACCCACTTTCCCTCTATGTTAAATTTTTATACATAATTTATAAGAGCTAGACAGCTAACCCGAAAGACTCGAGTTCGAATCCGGGTTCAAATCAGTAGAATGTCCCTGATAGTACACACAGTTCTAATGGGTACCTAACTCACGTTAGGGAAACAAAGGCGGCTGGGCATAGTGCTGACCACACTCTCTTCATATGCCGAGGATTCTGAAGCAGATGAACTCAACTTGATACACGACCGGAAAAGGTGATGATGATACATAATATAAGACTACATTGGAGCCTCGAGACCATTACAAGGCCAATACAGGCCCACTGTTTTCGGACATCTATACAACACAAATAAACATGAAGTTTTAGGTGGTCAGCGGGAGTGTAAGTTCCTAGTAGCTTCAATTAATTAGTTGGGAATATCTGCGGGTTCTAGCATCCTGGTACTCCAGGTTGGGGGTTGAACACAAGGACAGCAATCTTATTCGTAAAAAAAAAAGAGAAATCTTTATATAAACAAAATCAGAAAGTATTAAACCAGTAAAGGGGAGCAGTTCTCCAAAATATCACGGTTCCTTATGGAAAAAGGAAACATGGAAGGCCAAGGAAGACGTGGAGGTGCACATCAGAAAAGCAACTGGCAAAAGTGGAAAGAGCTTTTTGTGGCGGACCGATGTGTACTGGGCAAAGATGAAGGTAACATTTTACGATCATTTTAAAAAGGCCCCTTTAAAAATAAATAACTAAGAGCTTGAAGTTGTAATAACTATTAAATTTCAGTATCCTCTATGCCACACCGCATGAATTCATATATATATATATATATATATATATATATATATATATATATATATATATATATATATATATATATATATATATATATATATGTATATATAATTTAAGTTTAATTTTAATTTTAAATAGATGTATATGCCTGTCGATCATTGTAAAATATTTCAGCAATTTTATAATTTGGAAGACTATTAATATGCGAATCTTTTTATATATATCTAAGAGACACTTCCAACTTCCTTTTCCGGTTTTCCTTAAAGGTAAATGGATGCTATACACTTATTTTACTTTTAAAATCTATCCTATCCTTCGTTATTTCTTTCAATACGCAATCGAAAGTGTTAAAATATTTAAGGGATATCATTATCTTTCCAACTGTTGTGAGTGTTTTGGTTTTGTTAATCTTACAGGTTTATGATACGATCTTAAAGAAGGCGTTATTTTATATTTACGTTTATATTTATAAATTGCCATTGAACAAAGTTTGTAAATATATAACCTAAACGTTTTAAAAATAGTTCTTTCATATCTATTTCTGTTTACGAGCAATAAATAATTAACACTAGCATACAAATGAACATATGTAAAATGTATTTTTATGTTGACAGCAGGTCAGTGACAGTAGCCTGTCGCACAAAATGCTGATTCTCTTGTTGAATTTTAAAATTAGACCTTTTATTTGGCTCCAAGAACTAGATCTACATGCTTAAAATTTAGATCTAGATTTACTTAGCCTACTGTAATCAATTTAATATTTTAGGTTACAAGGTTTAGTTGAGCATCATTGTAAATTTAACTACAATTTTCTGCAGGGTGAAAATGACACGCTACGCCAAAGAGCCAGATAACCCAACCAAATGTAAGTTGCATTTAATCCTGAAGCAGTATGAACAAATGTGGGACGGTGTGGTCAAATAGTAGAGCATACGACTGCAAGCCTAGAGTTTGGATATCAGGATCGAGTTCCTAGGATGTCCCCTGAGTCCAAGCAGCTAATATGGGTACCCTACTCACAACAGCCGCATGTTTCCTTATCTATATAATTCTGGTCAGAATGAAGTGGATGCATATCTTTTAGTATTTCTCGCTAACCCGGAGGCGTGGCCGGTTGCTAACAACAATATTGCGTACGGACCGGATGCATGACTTCCGACAATTTTTCGTCTTACAGAGACCTTAGAATTACTTTTAAAAATGTTTATCATGAGTGAAATGGCGGATTTTTACGTTATAAAAACTGCTATAGGTGGCAAGGCTAAATATGCCAGAAAAGCATTTTAAAATTTGCTTTGGAGAATGAAGGCTAAATTTAAAAGTTGGTCTCATTAAAATTAATAGAACTTCTAAAATATCAGCCCGGAGATCACAAAAATAAATTGGAGGTTGTAGAACTTTTACGTTTGTCATTATATGAAGAAATAAATCAAATATTGCATGCGCTTTTTAAAATAAGACACAACTTTTGAATGACAACCAAATTTTTTTTTTTTAAACCACGTGACCGCTATTTGATGATCACTAGTGGGGAACTCTGGGTACATGGCCACTTAAAAAGTCTAACCTATTTGTGGTTTTCTTTACGTTCAAGCTTAAGAAGAGTTGTCATGGAGAGGTGTGTTGGCCATGGCAGTGAGTGTCAATAAATATTAAATTAAGTAATTTAGTTTAAAACGAACTAAAAACTTCTAAATTAGTGCCTAATGGTTTAAATATGGATGTCTATCATTCAGTAGTTATACTTAATTTGAAATTTGGGTAAATTCTAGATTTAGTAAGAAAATCTAATATCTTTGTTCCACTGCGCAAGCATTTATTTCAAAACAGCACTATTAGTGACCTGGATTGTCTTGTCAATTGAGAATCTAGATTCTCTTAGACTTAATTTAGTAGACCTTTATAAACATTTGATTTCGATCTAGTATTTAGCTTAATATTTCAGAATTACTAGTATCACATTAATTTAATAATTATTAGCCTATCTATTCAATATTTGAAAACAAAACCTATGCAAAAAAAGTGAATGAAACGTACAAAATAGTACAAAACATGAATGACCCTAATTGGAACTGAACCTGAGACCTCTGATGAGCGCAACTGTTGGCCTACACAGTAGTTATTGTTGTCATACGGGTAATTTGAGCTCATAGCACATGCACAGAAATCTTGTTTGCATCTAGGCTAGGGATTGGAGAGACTGAATGTCAGATGTTTCATCAGCGTTGTCACTTTTAATATAGACTGTTTAATTTTAAAGCCATGTAATTATTCTTATAGGATTCTACTCTTCTACTCAACTGTAACCTAGTGATTAGTGTAGTTTAACACTCAATAGAATCTGTTCATTTTAAAGATTCTTAAATACCATTGTTATTTTTAGTATTCCTTAGACATATAAACAGTTATTTTATACTTGTCTTTCAGCTGCCAAGGCCTGTGGGTCATACTTGCGTGTTCATTTTAAGGTTGGTAATTATTTTGTGTTGTATAAAATGCCTTAATAAATTTGCTGATTTACATTTTTTACTTTCTCATATAGGGCCTACTAAGTATAGAGGAAGTATTATTGTAATCATGCAAATAATCATGTAGATTTCTATATTTTCACAAATCCTTTTACACCTCATTGAGTCTGAAAAACAGTCCGTATGTATGTGTGTGTGTATTTCTGTGAACATAACTTGAGTACTGTTACAGCTATGTTGATGAAAGTTCATATATAAGTATTATATCAAATTTGTAGTTTACTAGTTATGTATAAACTTTTCAACGATTTCTGGTAACCAGAAGTGGAACTTATTCTAATTTGTCAAAAGCCTTTAACTTGAGTAATGTTTGAGATAGATAAATGAAATTTCACATGTAAATACAAGATCTAATTCTCAGCTTTCTTTCAAATTTTGAGTAATGTCCGTTGACGGGAAGTAGTAATTTATCCTATTTCTCAAACAGTGAATTTGTAAAGTACTAATATTCCACACTATTATACACATTGTTTGAAGTTTTAGTAATTAACAATGGATTAAAAATCATGACTAGATCCCAAGTTGCCATCCCCCCTAGTGTCATATAAGAATATTCGAGAAAGTTTAGGGGAGATCACTCCCACTTTATTTGTATATCAATTCCTCTTTTGGCAGTTCTTAACTTTAAATTTTTCTATTTCTAGAACACTCGTGAAACAGCACAGGCTATTAAACATATGCACTTGAAGAGGGCTAACCGCTTTTTGAAGAATGTAATTGGTCACAAGGAGTGTGTACCTTTCAGACGATTCAATGGTGGTGTTGGCAGATGTGCTCAGGTTTGTTTTTTCACCCTAGACCTGTGATTTTGACTTTACTCTTCATTTTTTGTAGATTTGTGAAATGTTTTATTACTTCATTGATTAGGTAAATATAGCAATATTTATTTTCTTTTAGGCTAAACAGTGGAGAGCTGTCCAAGGAAGATGGCCAAAAAAGAGTGCAGAATTCTTGCTTCAACTTCTTAAAAATGCAGAAAGCAATGCTGAATTCAAGGTGTGTAATTTTTCTTTTATTTTCAGGTGTATGCTTTATATTGATGAAGCCAATTAACTGAACTATTTATTACTTAGTGTTAAAGCTAGTTTTAACAGCCTTATTGATAATAATGGAATAACCCATTGTCAGGATACTGATAAGATAAATCATTTTTAGTTTATGAATGTTTACCCATAATTAAAATTGTTCTTTCTTTTGTAGGGATTGGATACAGAGCATCTTGTTGTTGAACACATCCAAGTAAATGCTGCCCCTAAGATGAGGAGACGAACATACCGTGCTCACGGTCGCATTAATCGTACGTTACATTGTTATTTCTTTATCACAGCTTGTAGTTTTTGTACTTCGTGTACTAGTAAATTAAAGTGGTGAAAAATGATAGTAGGAGGGCAGTATTCTTTGAGAAAGTCAGTCTTAGTTTATTGTGAGATTATAAATAACCATAACTCTTTTCAGCCTACATGAGCAGCCCATGCCACATTGAACTTGTTTTGGCTGAAAAAGAAACTGTAGTTGCCAGACCAACAGTTGGAGAGGATGAGCCAAAGAAGAAGAAAGTTTCCAAGAAGAAATTGCAGCGTCAAAAGATGATGCAGAGAGACTAAATTTGTCATTAGAAATTAATTTAAAATAAACTGGCGGTTATTCAAGTTTTTTCTTGTAATTTTTTTGTTGTTATCCTAATTTTGTTACCAAAAGTTGTTTAGACATATAAAAGGTAATGTCCTTACAAATTACATAATAAAAAAAATCAACAGCTGCCCCCTTTGGTTTGAGACTTATAAAAAGTAAGGTTTATGTGTTAATTATATGGCCATTGTATTTAGTCATGATCCATTGACCTGAGTCAAATGTTAAGTGACTATAGCATCATATGTATTCTTGTGGGGAGTTGAGAAAGTTTGTATTAAATCTAGCTACTCATGATAATTGTAATATTACATACAGTTCTATTTAAAAATGTACAGAAACTTTTAAAACTACTTGTAGCAGAAATTATATAAAAAGAGTATCCTGAAGTTTCATATAAATCATTTGACAGTACACCTAAGGAGTACAAGGACCAGCTAGAATTTGGCATTATTCTTAAGGGATCTGATGAATTTGCTAAGACACAAAAGTGACACGCTCAAATCACAGAACGAGAATTATTCTTGGTCCTAATTGTTAGTTACATCAACAGTAGGCTGTTCAAGTTAAATGGACTTAATGTGTTGTTGTTACAAACATAGAGATCTATGATGGCACTAAAAAATATGAATGAAGAATAAAATATGCATGTTTCAGAATGGCCATAATCAAAGGATTTCTCTATTGCAGTCAGAACTGTTGGTGGTATTTCCATTCCTTATATGACGTCATTATGACATGTGGGTACCTTTGGTAGAGCATTATACAAATACAGTCAACGTTTTGAATTTGTATAAGAATAAAAATCCAGTCTATGTAGGTAGGTTTTATACATGTACATTTTACTAATTAATACTCAAAATTTGATCGGAGTTCATTCACTATAAGTTAAGTTCTGACGAACTAAATTCTCTCCTGACTTGTACAGAAGTAGGCCATAAATTATTCACCATTTGCAGATTTGTAAAACAAGACACATGAGTGATATCCCCTTAAACTTTCTTGTGTATCATGGCACTTCCAGCGGTAAAGCTATGTTTTGTATCATTTTTTAGCGCAATTTCCATTCTGGAGAATTGCGTTTATTAACTCGTCATTTCTGGGAATGGATGAATGAATGTATGAATGTATGGATGTATGAATGTGTGTCCGGGCTTTAAGTCGTATCTCCTCCTCAACGAAGCAATATCGATGACTAGTTACAAAAGCAATTATGTTAAGCAAGTTACGAGGATGAACATGGGCCATACAAATGGACACCAGCGAGAAAAGTCTCAAAGGTATTTGAGAGGTGTATAAATTCATTTAAAAATCATGCACAGCGTAGTTACAATTAATATGGTTATAAAATCCTGTCTATCTGTTTTTTTTTCGGACTTTACTAAAGATTGGATGTATTTGATGTTTATAATATTTTCGGTAACTAAATAAAAATTAAAAAAAAAGCAAAAACAATTTGGTTTTCACGTGTAATGGCGACATAAACAATGGCATCCTGCTATTGGATAGGCCGCCATTGATTTTATTGTACACATTGTAAGCTAAAAATAGAAAACTAGGTCATGGGGTTTTAAATTTGCATTGTAATTTAAAAACTTGATCTGCAAAGTTTTGTAAACAAATAGTTATCGATCACTAAGTTACTGTACAGCCAATCAATATTTGTCTTACGAAAGTGAAACATCCGGTTATAACTTAGGCTTGATGAAAATAAATAGAAATGTAGCCTTAAACTCACCAAATTATTTTCAAGTTCTCTGGATTTGCAACTTTTATAACATTTATTCTAAAAATATAAAATTTCTAAATTAATTTTAGGCTTAAGTTTTTATTTTTTATTTTTTTTTACGGTCTAAATCTAAAAAGCACGCTTTTATTCCATGTCAACAACATTGGGGACGGAATCTCGTCAACTCGCTCGCCTCCATTACGGGTTTCTTTCATGGATTTCCCGAAAAAGCCAAAAAACCTCGAAAAAATTCAGTTTTTGGCCCATATCTCGGCAACCAGACCACTTAGCGACTTGAAACATGTACCAATCGATTCCTGCCATAATTTAGAACAATATTGCCGAAGAAAGTTTTCAAAAATATCCTTTCGTTCGGTCACAAATTATTTTTTGAATTAATTAAAATTTGGACCGAATTAGTAGGCATTGTATGCAACCACACCACACGCGTCATCACGTTCAATAGCTGCGCCATCACGTTCAATGGCTGCGACGTCACGTTCAGTAGCTAGGCGCGCAATGGTTTTTAGTCATGTTACTCTATTGTAAATAAAACATGTAAAATACTGAAACATTTTTTAATAAAAAACGTTTTAATAACTAACCAATGGTTTTACTAACCCTGCTCTTGATTTACGCTACGACAGAGCTATTTTTAGATAACACAAGGAAATTGCGCTAAAATTGTCACTAGACTTTTTTTAATTACTTGTTTACTTTCTTGTATACGAAGTATAGAGGAATAACAATGATAACTTAAATACTGTTTAAGTTATGTTGCCAAAATGTCCTACTATATAAGTATTATATCAAAATTGTAGTTCTGTATCAACAGGAAGAGGTACAAACTCGACTTTCAGTTTCTTAAAGCCAATAACTAAAGCGCCGTTTAAGTTAGCTAGACGAAATTTCATAAATATGTATTAAATTTTTATGTGTAGTATTCTGTAAACTTTTGAAAGGTTTCCTTTAACCCAATGTCGTACATTACTCTATTTTCCGAGTGAACACTTTGAGAACTGTTTCATTTAGATAGATGAGATTTCATATATAAGTATAAATAAGATGTTATACTTTGCTTTTAAAAAATTTTTTGAGTAATTTTCGATAACGGAAGTTGTATTTTCTAAAACTAAAAATACAAATAACGTAAGTAACGTTTCAGTTAGGTGAAGGAAATTTTATACAATGGTATATGATCTTATTATCTTGAATTTGTCACATTTCTTTACTTAGTAAAAGATAATTTTACTCTAATTAATCATTAATTAAACTGACTAAAACACTTATATTTTATTCTGTAATTTTGCAATTACTTTGCCTTGGTGTTATTCTCCTAAATGGTGTCAATCTACGGCTATCTACGCTGTCTGCACCTTCTCACGACGCCTCTAAACAAGTTTCAGCCTGTCATCCATGAAAAATGTTTGAACGCTGCAATACAACGAAATTTTCGGGGACGTAACCAAGCAAAGTTGATTTAGCTGAAATCATTAATTGAGTTGTTTCCCTTTGACCAGAAAAGTGATGAATAGTGGTCACCAATTAGTTATAAACTTCGCCATGACATTGACTGTACTAAAAATTTTAGCTAACCCGGATAAATATTAGATTTATTGACCTATTTCCTTAATTAGAAACAATATAGGTATAAATTTTAATGCTAAAATTCAGTGTAAAATTGTTTATTACGGTTTTTTTAGGTTACAGATCAAACAGTGACGCCATTGGTGCATCCCCCCCCCCTAGTTATTTTAAATTGAGAGGTTAGCTTTTTTAATGCATGTACTAGTGTCATATTTGATGAAATAGCAAGTCTTTTTGGTTGATTGTGATTTTGTAACCTAATGTAACCTAAATTAATCATGGTTGGTGGATTGTACTTGTAGTCAAGGAAACAACGAAGTACAGCTTATATGCTGAGCTGTACTTTCATTTATTCCAAATGTAAGACAGGAATTTGCAGCATGGGATCCCTTCCCTATCTGGGGCCGCTGCCAACTCTTCTATGTGTACCTTGCAATCTTTTAACAAATCACTGCATACATTTTTTGTTTCATCATATTTCTGATGCAAACATTTTTTGTCTCATGATGTTTCTGATGTATACATCTTTTAATGTTTTTAGTACATGCATGTTTTGTCTCATGATGTTTCTGATGTATACATCTTGATGATGTATTTAATGATACGTCTTTTTGACAGGTGTATACTAAAACACACAAAATCTCAAGCAGTGTTTTAAATTTTTTTCCTTACAGTCATGTTTCAATGTGTTACGTCTAAAGATGACAGTGCTGATAAACAAACAAACAAAAATACATGTTTGAACAATTTTATTGAACGATGCTGAAAAATAAACATTGACGAATTTCCTGTTTTTGATACGAAAATAATATATATATAAAACAAATACGTAAATTAATCACTGGTAATGAGAAGATAATAAACTTCTTGTGTTTTTATAGGCTACTCTACACCTAACAATTTAATATGAGTAGGTTTAATTTAAGCCGTGTAGTTGTGGTTGGGGCTAGACCAAACTTGTAGCTGTGGTTGGGTCTAGACCAACCTACTCTAAAGACTAGTGTATACCAGTGAACGTACGACCAGAATAGAGCTAATGGCTTTGCATTAAAGGCTAACATCGTTATGCCATTTATTAAAAATGCACTGATTAAGATATTAAGAAATAGTCGTTAGGTGTTTTGAGAAAGGACAGAAAAAAAAGATGAATTTGTTAACATAACATTTTTATCAGTATTTGTTTACTTCAGTACTCCAACTATCTGATCACACACGGCATCAATGATTTGTACAAAATAAAAACAATGTGTACGCATTGGTAATTGAGATGAGCTATTGTATGGTACACATTTTATCGATACATACAGTATATATATATATATATATATATATATATATATATATATATATATATATATATATATATATATATATATATATATATATATATATATATACATATATATATATATATATATATATATATATATATATATGTATATAGGCCAAATATATATATATATATATATATATATATATATATATATATATATATATATATATATATATATATATATATATATATATATATACATTGTGTAATTCACAGGAGTTGCTAACTAAATTATCAATTTAAATATTAAATGAGGTACACATTTTTTTTCTAAATAATTTAAACATAATTACACACATTTCTTTGTATGATCTGAAGAGCAAGTCCAAAATGTGTGTGGTGTACTCGCAAATATAAAATTAAATAAAAAAAACAACAATGTTAATTCCAAATTATTGACGATCTAAACATCAAAGTGCCTCCCACTCAATCTCACAGTCCACTAACCACCTTAGGTTGGCTATTGTTTCTTTAACATTGCACGGTGTTTCATAATCCAAAACTTGTTTCTTTTCTAATTTTTTTTGTTTATTTTTTTTATGAAAAAATTAATAAAAAAGAACGTTCTCGAAGTTTGACCTTGGAGCTTTACTCAGAATAGGCTATTAACTACAGTAGACTAGCGTAAACATGGAGACACTTGTTTACTGGTGGAATATATATATATATATATATATATATATATATATATATATATATATATATATATATATATATATATATATATTTAGAGCCCTTGTTACGTAGCCTATAACTCAAAATTCACACCGATGTAGCCAATCAATAATTCTTTCTTACTGCAATGTTTAGTTTTGAAAATAAAACCCAGATTGAAAAATGGCAGCTCTGACTTAGGCCTACATTTCCTTTTTTTTTAAATAATAAAGAAAGAGCTGAACGAAATACATGAAAGTACATTCTTGTAAACAATAACGTTGTGTAGCACAGAATCCAATGCCAAGGTCACATATCGTTACCCTGATTATTTACCAGAACCTTTCTTATTCCAGTGTATTAAAAAAGCTCCACAGTATAAGCTAGCCCTTACATTAATGCGCATGCGCAATATCCCGAGTTTCCGGAGTTTCAGCGCATGACACCGGAAATGCTATGAGATTCCTCTGATTCATGTTATAATTACAAATGTGTGAGGTACATCTTTCAACAAAGTCATTAATACCAACAACTGGCGTTTTTCTTATACATTAAGGACAAAGAGTAAAAAATACGACATACATTTTGCTGTTGTTTAAAATAAGTCGAATACTTTACAGGGATTTTGAAAAAAAGATCACACATACAAATATGAGAACATGTGCTTGGATCAGTTGTGTGGAGGAAGTTTAGGGTTTGAGGTGTGACATGATTTCTATGGATCAATGAATACACAGTGTAATCTATATATAGACGGTAGAGCCAATGATGACTGACGTTTGATTTTATCGTTGCAGGTTGAGCAACTAGATTGTGCCAGAAAAGAGGACATCAAATGATGACAATAAGGGTATGACCCCCCCCACCTCCCCCAAGGGTGGCAATAATATGACCCCTACTGGTGTCCATAAGAAATGACCCCCGCTGGTTTCCATAAGAAATGACTCATAATGGTGGCATTTTGAGATGACCCCCAGTGTTTAAAAAAAAAATGACCCCTATTGGGTACCACAAGAGGAGACCCCTACTGGTGTCCATAAGAAATGACCCCAATGGTGACAATAAGATGACCCCTACTGCCCACCTCTCTAAAACAAGATATTTGTCCAAGCAGCTAACCTCTTCCGGTCACCATATAGGGAGGACATTGCTTCTTCCGGTCACGATATAGAGAGGTCATTGCCTCTTCCGGTCACGATATAGAGAGGACATTGCCTCTTCCGGTCACGATATAGAGAGGTCATTGCCTCTGCTGGTAACTATGTCGACCAGACTTCACCCTCTGCCGTAGTTTTCACTTAAATTTTTAAAAATAAATCTTGCAGCAGGAAAGCAGCCAATTTTTAAACCAACATTCTTTCAAATAATTTGTTTCTTTTATGTTTTTGTATCTGAACCTGGGGTGAAAAGTTTAAGCTAAAAACAATCATTTAAAAAAAGTTAAAATAATGATTTCTGTCTAAGGGTCAGGAAAACTTAACTCTTGACAGAAAAAAAAAATGGCTAGGATGAGTTACTGCTCGGTTGGAGCAGACGAGCTTGATAATAAATAAAACAATAATAAATACCAACAAGCACTAGAGTCGTACTCTCAAGCCTAGTTGTGTGCCTGTTGAGCACACGACGAGTTATTTACAACATCCTGACAGATAGAATAACAAGGGAGTGAATTCATAAATCCTTGAATTGGCCAGGTAAATGTCAGTCTATCGGCTAAACCAGCCCATGGTTTTAGCTTATAAAGTGAATCTGTATTTCTGAAAGTTCAAATTTCATGTAGCTAATAACTGCCAGTAATTTGCTGTGGCTGCCATTTTTAATCGTTCCATGGCAAGGTGAGTTGAAATGAAATCGAATATTTTTGCCCCCACTGTGTTAGCGTGTACAAACCTCACCTCACAAGCTAGAGAGTTCGTTGAGATGATCTCACGAGCTGACACGGATAAAGAAATAGAAAAGACGTGTTTGGAATCACTGTGCTATGTGTTTGTTCAGCATTCCATCATCTATTAAGTTCCGACCTCCCTGAAGTTCCACCATGTCGCGCCTGTGCCGTGTGTTGTGTGTAAGCGACACAGTGGCTACCGTTACACACTATATGATCATGAGACGAGGTCAAGGTACAGCGAACACAAAGTCAAGATGGCCGCGAGCACGGCACGGTTCACTAGCGTCTTGGTGTGAATACTCTTGCCGCCATTTCCAACAAACTCGCCCTTGACCTGTACATCTAGAGATGTGATAAAAATAGAACGTTAAAACGATTACCTTTTAAAAATCATAATGATATTAGTTATAGATTGAGATGAGGCAGATTTGCAAGAAATGTCATTTTGTTAGCCTCACTAGGGAACTAAAAATGGCTTTTTGTTAGCTTCACTGTCATACAAAGAATGGCCTTTTGTGAAATCCATTAAGATATTAAGAATTGAGATTTCATTAGCCCCACTATGTATGCGTCTTGGGCTCATGTTTTGAAATGTATACGACCTGGGCTCGTGTTTTGAAATGTTTACGACTTGTGCACATGCTATAATAGATATACAGGGGCATTAGTTTTTAAATGTATACAATATGGCCATATGTTATGCGAGGTATACAACTTGGGCACCTGTTTTGAGAGATATACAACTTGGGCACCTGTTTTGAGAGGTATACTATTGGGGAACATGCTATGAGAGGTATAAAACTGCTCTGTACGCTTTTTTTTGAAAAAGTAGTGGTCGCAATTTACTCCCGCACATATTTCGGGGAGGGGGTGGGGGGGGGGGGGGTCGTGTATAAACGACAGATGCTATTTAGGTCGGTGTTACCCCTCCCCTCCCTCTTATAAGCACGCGTCGTCACAAACCAGACCAACACATCATCACAATTCACACCTCCAACATTACAAACCACCGCCAACATCACATAGACCACCACCACCACAAACCACACCACCACTACAACCACCAACGTCACAAACCACACAACCACCAACAATACAAACCATACCACCACAACCGCCAACAACACAAACCATGCCACCACAACCACCAACAATACAAACCATACCACCACAACCGCCAACAACACAAACCATACCACCACCACCACCAACATCACAAACCACACCACCACCACCATCACAAACCACACCACCAACATCACAAACCATACCACCACCAACATCACAAACCACACCACCAACAAAACCACACCACCACCAACGTCACAAACCACACCACCATCACATCACAAACCACACCACCACCACCATCACAAAACCAGGCCATGACCATTGAAATTTCCAATCAAAAGTCCACCCACACTCTTTGAATAACAACAGCAAGTTCACCACATGTGACCCCCCCCCTTTCAAGCCCATTGCGTAACAATCGAGACAAAAGTCTAAACCCACCCCTAAACCCATAATGTGTGAGGTCACATATGCTCTAACCCCCCCCCCCCTCCCCCTCCCTAATAGGCCATTAATGTTTAACATGAAAAAAATGTCTCACCTCTATTTTTTTTCGTTGACTCCGCTGAAATGAAAAAAAAATGCAAATCAATAATTGCTGCTGATTCTAATAGAGGACATGCGTACTGGTAACACAGTACCATAGGACATGAGTACTGGTAACACAGTACGATAGGACATGAGTACTGGTAACACAGTACCATAGGACATGAGTACTGGTAACACAGTACCATAGGGGAAATAAGTACTGGTAACACAGTACCATAGAGGACATGAGTACTGGTAACACAGTACCATAGAGGACATGAGTACTGGTAACACAGTACCATAGAGGACATGAGTACTAGTAACACAGAAGGGGACATGAGTACTGGTAACACAGTACCATAGAGGACATGAGTACTGGTAACACAGTACCATAGAGGACATGAGTACTGGTAACACAGTACCATAAAGGACTTGAGTACTGGTAAAACAGTACCATAGAGGACATGAGTACTGGTAACACAGTACCATAGGGGAAATAAGTACTGGTAACACAGTACCATAGAGGACATGAGTACTGGTAACACAGTACCATAGAGGACATGAGTACTGGTAACACAGTACCATAGAGGACATGAGTACTGGTAACACAGTACCATAGAAGACATGAGTACTGGTAACACAGTACCATAGAGGACATGAGTACTGGTAACACAGTACCATAGGGGACATGAGTACTGGTAACACAGTAGCACAAAACAAAGCCATGCTGTTGAACTAAACCAAGTTCAAATCAAATGTTAAACAACATTTAAATATACAATCAAGTACAGCGACTCTGTATTTGCCGTCAGCGCCAAAGGGGCAAGTTAAAAGTTAACATTGACAATTACAGGTTAACATTGTCTTCAATTTAAACTTTAATTTAAGCCGCACATTTCAGTTTCAAACATCCGAGGTCGCCTCAAGTTTTGGCATCCCCCCGCATACTTCAGTACATACCTACATTTTTGGCTTTTCCACGATTATTTCAGTACAGACCTACATTTTTGGTAGTTCCCCACATATTTCTGTAGTTACCTAAATTTTTGGCATTTCCCCGCATATTTCACTACAGACCTAAATTTTTGGCCTACCCCCGCATATTGCTGTAGTTAACTACATTTTTGGTAATTCCCCACATATTTCTGTAGTTACCTAAATTTTTGGCATTTCCCCGCATATTTCAGCACAGACCTAAATTTTTGGCATTCTCCCGCATAATTTAGTAGATACCTAAATATTTGGTATTTACCCTCATTGTTCTGTAGTTACCTACATTTTTGGTACTTCGCCACATATTTCAGTAGTCACCTAATAAAAAAAAAATCTCCACAAATTTCTGTAGTTACCTGATAAAAAAAAAATTCTCCACATATTTCCGCAGTAGTGTGGCCCAGGACCTAACTGTGGTAGAATTTATTTGCGTCAGTCCGAATCACGGAAATGCTAACGTAAGCTGAGAGAGCACACGAAACAGCCATGTTTGTGGTTTGTTTACTGCAGGTCTCGAGACACCGATGTTCTAACCAATAAAGATTACTCAGGTCACGTGGATGTTGCTCATAGCTGCCCGGATGTTTTGTTTGTATTTTTAGACTGACCCGTTTCTTAATTTTGTGCTTTACTCTAGATTGTTAATTTTCCGGTTTAACTGACCCATATCTGATATTGTATTAGTTTTGATTAGATTGTTAATTTTCCGATTTGAACTGACCCATTACTGACATTTTTGTTTTACTCTAGATCGTTAATTTTCCAGTTTTAGACTGATACACTTCTGAAGTTTTTGTTGCTATACATTACATTGTAAATTTTCTGGTTTTAGAATAACCCACATCAGAATACCAAACCCTGTTCCGCTTTGACTTGATGTTTTTATTTATATTCATCTGAAGAGCATCGATCATAATTTATAGCTTTGAATATTTATATGCATTGAAACAGGAACCTGTCAATCAATAAATCTGGTTTGAATATTTAAACAGATCAACATTTATGTTTGTGTTTGGCGTCGAATAAATTTTCTCATTTCTGCACTTCTTCAACCAGCTTTATTAAGTTTCGGCATTTTTAAACACCCACTACATTCCTACACTAAATCTTCACGCGTGCTACTTTATGATACAGCATGAATAATTTTATTTCAATGAGTTCAATGTTGTGTTTGCGACATCGAGTTTGTAGGTTAATTTTCTCAAGGTTTAAGATTAAACATTGTAGGTTATTTAGATTATCTTTCTCGTTCTGTTTAATGTTGTTCTAAAGATTAACAATCGTAGCTAAATAAGTTAATTTTCTAGCATTCTATGTTTTTTGAAGGTTTTAAAGTCTAAGTAGAAAAAAATTCATCAGTTGCATAGCTAATTGAGTAAGTAACTTTCTGCAATTCAGTACTGACCACTAGACCACACAGAAGTGTATAACATCAGATTTTATGTACTGACCACTAGACCACACAGAAGTCTGTAGGCTTGACCATCAAGGTATAACATCAGATTTTATGCACTGACCACTAGACCACCATCAAACGTCAAGTACAGCTTGACCATCAAGGTATAACATCAGATTGTATGCACTGACCACTAGGCCACACAGAAGTCTGTAGGCTTGACCATCAGGGCGTCTAGTAAGACACAGCAGCATGTCCCCCAATGCCGTTTCTTATTCCCACCGATAGATCTATATTGTCCCACCACTGTCTATTTTGTCCCACTGCTTATGACTACGTTGTCCCTTTTGCTGTCTATTTTGTCCCTTCTTCACAGTCAATTATGTCCTTTAACATTTGTCCACATATCCGTATGTAGCAGTATAACACTTCTTCTTCTTCTTCGTTCTTAATTTTTAGTGTTGGAAGGGATCGAGCCTTATCTGACAGAGGGTTTGAATTTGAGACTTTTTTCGACAGATATCAACCATGAGCTTTTGCCGACTCGACCACGCCTCCATCACAATTATGGATACGTGTCAACTGGTTATGCGCCATTGAGGCCATTGACTCCGGTTTCAGCCTGCTTTTCTTTTTGGATTTGCTTCCATAGCCTTTGTCCAACCAAGAACAAACTTGTTCGAACTTGAGACTTTTCGGTTTATCAACCATGAGCTTTACCGACTCGACCACTCCGACCCCGATCTAACACAGATTTAGGTCTAACTTTCATGTAACCGTCTAACACAGATTTAGGTCAACTTTCACGTAACAATCTAACACAGATTTAGGTCTAACTTTCGTGTAACCGTCTAACACAGATTTAGGTCAACTTTCACGTAACAATCTAACACAGATTTAGGTCTAACTTTCGTGTAACGGTCTAACACAGATTTAGGTCTAAATTTCGTGTAAAGGTCTAACACAGATTTAGGTCTAAATTTCGTGTAAAGGTCTAACACAGATTTAGGTCTAAATTTCGTGTAACGGTCTAACACAGATTTAGGTCTAAATTTCGTGTAACGGTCTAACACAGATTTAGGTCTAAATTTCGTGTAACGGTCTAACACAGATTTAGGTCTAAATTTCGTGTAACTGTCTAGTAGAACTAGAACAAGTCCACCAGACACCGATAATCAATAATTTATGCAGATTTTAATGCCAGATCCTTGTAGACAAACCCAATCTCCTGGTAATTTCTGCAGGCTAAGAATAGCATCACGTAGTTGATAGAGAAATCAGTTCTCTAGCACCGACTCGTGGTACTAGACGGACAAGCACCAGTCTTCATCGTGTTCATTTATTTTGGCGACTCGCCAAATCTAATAATTGCCCAGAGAATAATTTTAGGGTTTCAAGAAATAACTGATAATAATCCATAGCTTTTGATATCGTAGTTTTTTCTGAGATAGAAATTTTTAATCATTCTCAGTAATTATTTCAGTTGAGGATTAAAGAAAAAAAAAAGAACTTAACGATAGGCATTTTAAAGGAAATGAATTATTGCAATAAAAAGTTATATATGCATTTTATTACGGAGATTTGTTAAAATTGCGGGAATTAACTAAATATCGGATTTTTTTTTTTCCAATCATTGACATTCGCTTAAATCACAGAAATAGGTTTAAATCATGGGCATTTATTTAAATCAGGGAAATGAGGTTTAATTACGGATAATTATTAAAATCTCTAAAATTTTCTAAATCATAGAAATGTATTTTAATCTGTATTTTAATTTGTTTTATACTGTGACCTTGAGACGTCAACTGGTTTTAAAAACTGTGACCTTGAGGTGTTACCTAACATTTAACCCCGTGACATTGAGACGCAACCCACCACTTAACCCTTGACCTTGAGGCGCCACATACCACTTAACCCCATGACCTTGAGACTTGACCTACGGTATAACACTTACCGCTTACCGCTTAACCCCATGACCTTGAGACGCCACGCATCACTTAACCCCGGGACCTTGAGGCGCCCCCTATCACTTAACCCCTTGACCTTGAAACTTGACCTACCGTTTAACACCGTGACCTTGAGATTGACAATGTCGTTGCTGCTGCTGCGACAGATGTAGTCGCCGGTGTCGCTGTGTGAGCTGTGGTCGATGATCAGCTCGGAGACGAACGATCGATCGGTCATCGATTGATACTTATCAATCGTGACGTGCCTGTGGACAAGTTCAATAACAAAAATATTTTTCTCGATGTTATTGAAATACATAATTGATGTGTTCAGTTTCACGTCAGTGTTTACTTTCAAAAGTTTAGTATTCGGATTTTAGTCTTGCGTGTATTTGAATACATGTTAATTAATATAAACAGTGAGTGAATATTTAACACTTAGAAATCAGACATTGACGTCACACTTCTAGGGCGGGGTGGGGAGGTTTCGGAATGTTGTGACGATGTGTGACGTCTGAGTGGGTGGGGGGGGGGGGGGGCGTGTCAGAAAGTTTCGCGTTTTTAAAATGTTATGTACGAAACTGAATTTTAGCCGTTGGGTTTTGTTTTTTAAAAGGCTGTTTATGTAAATTGTAATAGAAATTGATCAATATACTCAAATATGGACAGAGCAGTAATAATATTTTAGAAAGGAGTCGATGTTTAAAAAAAAAAAAACAATTTTGAGGGGGGTGACGCCATTTTAGGGGTGGAAGTCTAGCTTTTTGTGAAGATTGTGAGTAGAGATAGAAAAAAAAATCGTTAAAAGTGTGACGTCATTTATGGATGACCACCCTAAAACGTAGAATAAAATTTTATTTGCTTTAAGATTTCACATCACGTAAATCGATCTCAAATCGAGGCCCACTAGAGCCCAATTTAAGACATTACGATTCCATACATACCGATACTTAGTGGAATCGATTTTATCCCCACCCTTGAACCAGTCGATCTCGTCCGGTACCCGTGGGCCGCCCGACGCATTACAAACCAAGTGGATCTTTTCCCCTAGGTCAACGAATCTTTTCCCAGTTATGGAGATGGCTGTGGGGCATTGAAAAGATATTCAGCGTTAAAAACATAAACACAATCTTAAAAACATAAACACAATCAAAATAAAACAAATAAAAGTAAGAGGCTCAAGAACAAAATAATAAAAAAAATGTTTCGTTTAAAAAAATTAATGAAACCAAAGTATTGAGTAAATTGTTTAAATATTAACTGTATTTGTTTTATAGAAAAATATAATTGTTTAATTAAAAAACGAAACATAAATTGGTTATAAAAAGAATACAATGCTAATTACAACTATAAAAAACAACAGCTAAAGTTACAGTAAATAAACGGGTAAAGAGCAATGTTTAGTTCTTCACGTAAAAAAAAATTAAAGCAACAATCGTAAGATAAATAAGTTAGTTCAAAACTGGTGAACGAAACCGAAAGAAATAAAAAAAAAAACAACAACCAAAAACAAACAACTACACTGGTGTGAAGCGATGTAAAAAATGTTGTGGATTCTCTTGTGTTTCTAATAATGAAATGATGTTGTTATAGAATATTTAATTAATTGCTTGTTAAGAAAGCGAAAAGGACAAGCTAAATACGTCGTAATTAGATCGTTTGTGTAAATCTAATATTTATCAGATTTAAAAAAAATTAAGCTGGATAATGTATATTAAAGAATGTTTGTTTATAGTTGAATTTTCGTTCAACTGTTTGAAGCTAAAAATAACTCATTAAGTCGAGTCAGCGTAAACTTTTCTGTTCTTCCTTCACGTGCACAATGTGAGTACTTAAAATCTTTTGATGAGCTTTACCCAGGGAGCCGAGTCAGACAAGCCAATAGGTACGGTGTGGATGGGATTTGAACCCGAAATGTAAACTGTACTTAAAACATTTTAGAAATTAGACTCTAGTTATACACAATGTAAGCATCTATTTTAATGACGGAATCTACTATCGTTTACAAAACGTTTCATGCAACTATAGGCTAAGGAAACCAGAGATGAATCAATCTTGGTTACATTTTGAGTCCCAAACATGTGTACTATAAAAATGGTATTAAACATAGGTTTATGGGCATGTATCCCCGGGCATTAACATCTTGGACCCCACGGGCACTCACACAACAGCAGAGGCGTAGCGACCCTTCCCGGCGCCCTGGGACAAACTTTTCGATTTGCACCCCCCCCTCGAGATTTCGATTTGCACCCCCCCTCAAACTTTCGATTTGCATCCCCCTCAACCTTTCAATTTATTTTTCCAACCCATTTTGGCGCCCCCTAAGGTCGGCGCCCGGGGACATATGTCCCCCCCCCCCCTCGCTACGCTACTGCACAACAGTACCAATAGTAACAGCAAAAAAAGCAAAAACTCAAGCAGTGACGACCTTGCTACAACAGTTCTCGGCATGCGGGACGGGCTCTTAATCTGGCCCCACCTCACCCTCTTATAATTAACCCCACCCTCTTATAATTAACCCCACCCTCTTATAATTAACCCCACCCTCTTATAATTAACCCCACCCTCTTATAATTAACCCCACCCTCTTATAATTAACCCCACCCTCTTATAATTAACACCAGACAAAATGGCTCCCGTGGGTGTTAGAGGGAGCCTCTCCACGGGCCCTATACCCACGATGAACTAACATTGAAAAATAATAAGGGACAAGAAAAAAATGCAGCAATGAAAAATTTTGGTTTGTAAAGATAAGAGTTTTGGATTGAGAAGGAATAATAACATAGCTGTGAATTGTGTAACGATGGTGTTAGTTTGTGTATCGATAGAAGTTTAGATTGTGTAGCGATAGAAGTTTAGATTGTGTATCGACAGAAGTTTAGATTGTGTAGCGATAGAAGTTGAGATTATGTAGCTAGTATTTTGTATTGAGTAGCATTAGTACTGGAGTGAAACTGGTTTCTAACCTTTGTTATTCTGAGAAATTTCCCCGTCTGTGACGTCATCCCCTGTAAGAAATGAGTGCGTAAGGTTTGAGGACCGCTGACAAATGTCTTTCTAATTCATTTGTTTTTAAAGTTTTATTCGCGTCGCGAGCTAGATTTAACCCTTGCAAGTAACCTACACATATATCTCAGGATTGTTCCCATTCTACCAGGTCAGGAAACGCATTTTTTCTTAATTACATTTTTGGAAATCCCCAGGTAAATTATGTTAAATTTTTTTTAGTTTGAAATGTGGTTTTGATTGTGAAATATTAAGGTTTAAATGAAAAACATTTAAAAATAAGCCAAACAGAAAGAAATAATTCAGCGTCTAAAAAGCACTACTAGTCTAAATAATTTGTTTAAAATTTAAAGCGTTATTATAACTATTTTTAAACACAGGAACTAGAAACACAATGAAGCAAAAAATAAAGAAGACAACAGGTGTACATTTAACATCAATGATATTTGACAGTTGTGAAGACCTGCAGACGACACTATAATTAGATTAGATCACGTGTTGTAGCTTATAGACAGACCAAGATGGATAAGGGTGACCTATCCATATTAGAATCTTCTAGGTGTCTGTAGTCACGCTTTTTTTCCCCACGCGGCTAAATTTAGAAACAGGGGAGAGAACTACTGACTCCCTTTGCTGTTAAAATTGTTATAGTCTTCAGCTGTCAAAAACTATGCCGGAAAAAAAAAAAACTTTTTGTTTTTTAAAGTAAAAAAGATTAGTTGTTTTTTCAACTTTACGGTAGATTTTTTCCCCTTTGTTTGATTAATTCAGTTTTTACACACACATTTAAAGATGGCTGGCTCAATCTAATGAAAACTCTTGGCAGTTACCGGCCTTACATGTATGTGTTTACACCCTCTCGGTTTCAACGTTTCAAGGTTATCTTCAACTAAAAACAGGCCCATTTCTAGATCTTTCTTAACATGACTCAATTAGCATTGTATGTCTCAGTGTCTGGAATTAACTTAAGTACGTTTGGACGTCAAGCATTTACGCTGATATTGTTTTACGTACCAGAATAAATATATTTATAGAATGACTTTCATTTTGTTTTTAATAAATTAAAAAATAAAATAACAACATGCTTTTCTATGTAACACGAACATTAACCATAGTAAAATACACGAAAGTGATCAATGTTTTATGTAAAAATAAACTTCAGTTAAAGAATAAAATGTTATTTTTATGTTGGAGTGAAAAGTTTGAAGTAGGCATGGAAAGAAAGTGGAAATGGCCGCGTCGTGTGAGTTATCCTAGGTGAGTACGTACAGCATCCGTGCATGCCTGCCGCGCCGCACACGCTGACCGGGACGTTGGGGACGTTGTTGGTGTGACCCTGGGGCGGATGTCTTGGTGAGTTGCTGGAATCTGAAAATCCAAGGTGTCAATGAGCGCTACATGTACTGCAGGTGGGTGGTGGTGGCTGAGGGGCGGGGGGTGAAAGGTGGGGTGAGTGGTATTGCGGGAGAGGGGTGGGGGCCAGAAGTAAGGGTTACAGAAATGTGAGGGATGGGGACGAAAAGTAGGGGGAGAGAAATATGAGGGGTGGGTAGCTTGGTGGGGGTGAGAGGTAGTGTGGGAGAGGGGGGCGAAATGTGAGGGGTTGGGGCCAGAAGTTACATAGATGTGAGGGGTGGGGATGTAAAGTAGTTTTGAGAGAAATCTGAGGGGTGGGGTCAGAAGAAGAGGTGAGAGGTGTAGCTGAGAGATGAGATTTGAAGATGAATTGTTCAAGTCTGAACATGTTTAAAGTGTTTGGGCCAATAAGTGACGAGGACAGCTAAATGAGAAAAGAAAATAGACCCCCCCCCCGCCTCAAGGTATATTAAATCTTTGAGCTCAACATTAGTTATCAGAACATTCTGAACAATGAATCAATATTTTGTTCAGCCAACGTCAATTTGATTCACTTGTACAACTAAACGGCTATGGTCAAACAAGTCAAAGAGATCTGTGCTAGCTATTGATTAACTACACAGGGAACCTCAATGGGTCAGAGAACTAAATTCCAATAGTTTTCAAATGTACTGGCGAGGTTATATGGGATTTACATAGATGCGTAATAAACGCTGATATAAAAAGAGATTAGGTAGAGTAAGTGGGTTTGGAAAATAAAGTATAGTAAGAGTTGAGTGCGCCTTTCTAGCGTGATAGTTTTAGAGATGTTGAAATATTACATTTTTTTTAGTGAATTTAAAACGTTATGGTTTTAGTTTCAGAGACGTTGAAATATGAAACACATTTTAGTTACAGTTGCTTAGTAATTGTTATATTACCACGCATGTATTTGGTCAAAGTAAATAAAGGTGTGGTTAATCTGTAGGCTAATATAAAAGCTTCTGTGGTAGTTGACCACTTAAAACAAGACCCTAGGTACTTTACTTCATGCACTTTAAATGGTAAGCCATTTTATCCCACACTTTTACAATATCAAACGATGGAACTATAACCAAATATCTCCATTTTAGCGCGATATTTTATAAGTCGAAAGAAAAATATTACAAATTAATCATAGGTAAGACAAGTTGAACATTTTTTAATTTAAAGAAGGTACACATTTAATAATAAACCGGGAGTGATCTCCCCTAAACTTTCTCGAATATTCTTATATAAAATAACAGGGGATGGGAACTCGGGCTATAGACATGATTTTTAATCCATTTTAAATACTTAAAGTTTTAAAAATAGAATAAAATCTCGTAGACAAATTAATTGCACACCAAGTGAACGCCAAATAAAAAAGCGCATAATGGTGCGCAATATTATTAGTACTTTTAAAATTTACATTAGTTTTTTGAGAAATCGGAAGTAGCGTAAAGTACTACTTTCAGTCAACGAAAATGACTCAAAATTTAACAGAAGGTAGAGAATTAGATCTTTTACTTACATATAAAATTTCATTTATCTATCTGAAATAGTACTCAAGTTATAGGCTTTTGAAAAATTTAAAGTAGGAAAAGTACCACTTCCGGTTATCGGAAATCGCTCAAAAGTTGATACGGATCTACGATTTTGATTAAATACTTATATATGAAATTTCATCAATCTAGCTGTAACGGTACTCAAGTTATCGTGTTTACACACAGACAGACAGACACACAGACACACAGACAGACACACAGACATACGGACAAGATTGCAAAATTATGTTTTTCCGTATCAGTGAGGTGTGAAACGTCGAGATTTGTAAAAATCTCGATTTTTTTTTTTGCACGATTACAAGACTTTCCCTATACTTCGTATATACGAGAAAGTAAAAATGGACAAAAGTGTTACTTTTGAAATGTGTTCTCTAAATACGGAAGTTCCCGGAGTGCAATAACAAAATAATGGAGACAACATTCAGTCTAAAGTCTAGACTAACAACTTTTGAAGGAACAACTGACACAAGGAACCGAACGATGACAGGAAATACTATCAGCAGGGAACAAAGGGAAAACTATTTCTTACACGGCTCTATTTGAGATAAAAGAATCTTCATTTTACGAATGTTTTTTTAAAATATTTGTTATTGCTGACAATTTCAAGAAATTGATTCAAAATCCACTCCACTGTGTAAATAAATAAATGCACCTCTTAATGAATGCAAGTTTTACAACACGGCTTTTTAAAACATATTCGATGTTTCTAAAATATTTAAACACTATATATATATTTAAGGACTCAGTTCATTTTAATCATCGATGTATTATAAGGCTTAATTCTATTTTTGGTATTTCGGTTGCCATTTTTTTCAGACAGACGTGCTTATACAACAAAGATTTACAACACATACTGTCTTACATAAAGATGCGTGTTTCTATTGGACAACAATTGTTACGACATACAGGGACAAGATGATGGGATACACTTGATATATGCATATATATATATATATATATATATATATATATATATATATATATATATATATATATATATATATATATACATATTCACATTACTATAGTGGAGGTTTTGCTTAAAATAATCTTTTTATTTCAAAATTCGAAGAACCTGTCTAGACCACAAAAAAGCACACACACACACAAACACACACACACGCACGCAAAGCCTAATAGAAAACTCACAACTAAGAATACGAGTGATAATTTTAACATTTTTTTTTTTTTTAAAGTGGTCATCATGGTCAGTAAAAGCCATAATAGACCTTCGGATGGCGCCATTCCACAGCCATTTCACATTAGCTGGGAACATTTTTGCGGGGTACTTTAGTCTATGAGCTTACGTCATACACAGCGCTACGATTCTCGGGGAAGCATTCATTAGTTTTGGCACTAATGTTAGCTATCAGAGCGAGCGAGAAGTGGCATTTAAAGATTGTTTCGTTAATCGATTTCACGAACTCCAAGTTTTTTTTTCCTTCTCTTAACCGGACACAGATCACGACATATAGTTAAGTCGAGGCTTCTCGAATTTTTTTTGCAAGGGATCTGTGGCTTATATCATGATATATAGTTAACTAGGGACTTTCAAATAGTTAGCTTGGGGCTTCTCGAATAGTTAAACTTGGGGCTTCTCAAAGTTTTCAATAGTTAACTTGGGGCTTCTCAAAGTTTTCAATAGTTAACTTGGGGCTTCTCAAAGTTTTCAATAGTTAACTTGGGGCTTCTTAAAGTTTTAAATAGTTAACTTGGGGCTTCTTAAAGTTCTAAATAGTTAACTTGGGGCTTCTCAAAGTTTTCAATAGTTAACTTGGGGCTTCTTAAAGTTCTAAATAGTTAACTTGGGGCTTCTCAAAGTTTTGGATGCAATGGGTCAGCGATGTTTTTTTTTAAACTTTGAGGTTGGGGGTAGGGTGGACGCTGTGGATATTTTATTTCAAACACTTAATGCGCATATGTATATATATATATATATATATATATATATATATATATATATATATATATATATATATATATATATATATATATATATATATATATATATATTGTTGCGAACAGTGTTTCTTTCAGACATCTCTCGGGGGAGGGGGGATGGGGTAGCAGGGGCGTCGTAAGGTTTTATGCTCCCTGCCCTCAACAATCACTACGTCTCTTCGTTAATACCCCGAGCGTAATTAAATATAATTTTAATTAACGCAGCAAGAACTATAATATTTACAGTAAGTTCTATAACAACGTTTCTCTTAGTGGCGATAATTATAACTAATTTTATCCTCACGTGCATAACAAAGTATTCACCCTCAGGGCTTTACCGGCAAGCTAAAAAAAAAAAAAAACTTTACCAAAAACTTTACCAACCCTTGAGCGAGCATCATGGGGTTTGTGCTGGAATCGATACATTCATTTACGTTTTATCAAAATATGTATTGAGCGAATACGACTCCTTTCTAAAATTCCACAAAAGAGTTCCCATGCTGAACAAAGACGACCACTGGTTAGCTGACCCTCCCGGGCTTCGGTGTGAGGGGGGTGTTGTGTGAGGGAGGGTGGGGGTGTTAGACAATGGGGTGAATGGCAAACTGCACCCACGGCTCTTTACAAAAACTACGGGATGTGGCCCCTAAATATTGCCAGGGTTTAGATCAGAATAGAAAAAAAAATTCATTGAAATGAATTCCCACCTCTAGTTCCATGTAAAAAAAAAAGCATCCATTTCTAACCAAGTGCACTCAGAACTGGCGCTATATAGGATATCTTAAGGGCATACCACGTGGTGCATTTGCCGCGAAACCTGAATGTGTGTGTGTGGTGTGTGTGGTGTGTGTGTGTGTGGGGGGGGTGATAATTAACTAGATCTTCGGTGTCTTAAAATACAACGGACAACTTGATGATTACGTATTCTTGTCGATCTATGCACAGACTTGGCAATATATGTACAGATTTGTCAATATATGTATAGATTTGGAAATATATGCACAGAGTTGGCAATATATACCCAGACTTGGCAATATTTGCACAGACAAAAGGTATCCTCATGGATATACATCTATCACTAGCAGATAGAGGTAAAAATGTTACTAGAAAAAAACGACAACAAAATTCGTCCTCAAGATATTCGTGTACATTTAAGCTTCGTTTTTTTTATACGGTATCTTTATTACAGTCTCCATCAAGAAAATCATCAGCATTAACATAATTAGCTGCATTGATAAGGATGCTGATATTCCAGTCCGATTTGATACGGAGGATGGTAACATATTTTCATTGAAGTCGGTATCACGCGTTTATTAGCATAATTAACGAAGTGTTAAAGCTAATGAGTTTTCGCCTGAATGATTAAATGCGGGATTACGTTCATTTTGAGTAGACTAAATATATGGGAAGGTAAAAAGTGAATTGAGACTGCTAGGACTACAACCCATTCAATTTAATGACTTGAGTTTTAACTAGTCTAGCGAGTACTTTCGTCATTGGCATCAC